GCTCTTAATGTATGCTGCTAGTTTTGTGGCCAGTACAGCATCCTTTGGTCCATTCTGACTGAGGATTCACTCCAGGAACTCGGGAACTGTGCTGTCCTGTGTTGGACTTCCCATCTTTCAGTGTGGAGTGTGCTTATTTCTCACATGTGCACAGCCTGCACCTTACTTGAGTATTATGCCTTGAATTGTATTCATCCTGCTCAGAATTTAATAGAAGACCACATTACTCCAAGTGGCACTTTTAAAAAATAATTTCTGTGTTTGAACTAAATACTTTGATTAACAGATTCTGGTATTTAAACCATAAATGTGAGGTGCTTTTTAGAAATAGTGACTTCTAATAAGAAATTAAGTATAGATAGCTCTCAGTGGTCCAGCTGCTGTTTGTACAGCACCACGATGGCATGGTGGAAGGTGTGGGAGTAGTGATCCTCTCAGCCTTTCTCCTGCCCACTGTGGGAGGTTCTCTGATGAATACCAGCTGAGCACAGTCCGTGCTTATGGGATGGTTGGGATGATTGACTAATTGAATACAGTTTTGTTCCTGCCGGGGCAAACCTGTTTGCTAGCTCTCTTGCATGGCCTGGGCTGTAACTCTGAATCACCTGTCTCATCTTAAAGCTTTGTTACACACATGCATAACTGAGCCATAAACTGTTGTTAAATTCACAGTGGAAGACAACTAATAGAGTTTTGCTATCCAGTGCTAACATCACGGGTTTCAGTGAGGCTTCTAAATCTGCCATATCCTTGTCTTCACTCCTTCATGCTTTTTAGACTTTGAAACCAGGTTGGGGGAACCTGAAGACCGTGAAAACAGACGCTCATAGGTCTAAGTCAGTGAGGATTAATGGAGGTCCAGTCCTCTTAAGATTACCATCTAAAAGTCATGTGGAGTGTAGCCGAGAATGAGACTGGGGAAAAATAACTTGCGTAGAGTTAGGTGTTGCTTCACAGTTTATGACCAGCAACAGGAAACCTGTATTATTAAATTCTGACCCACTTGTTTCCTTTTGCTGCCCTTCTGTTGTAGTACTTCAGCTTGCAGAACAGTAGAATGTTCTGTAGGCATAGATAAAAGAGAGATTAACCTGGTTAATTATTCTTCATTTTGCTTTTCTGCTTACAGTTGTCCTTTAAACTACTGGCTCCAGCTCCAGCCTTCACATGTGTCATAGCTGCATCTATTTGTGGAGTAGCCAGTTTGCTGGTCATAAGCTTGCCAGTCATGAACTCAATTGTTATCAATAGGTAATTTAAAATAAGCTGTCTTTGCAGACCCAGCTTCTAATTGACCCTAATGAGTCAAGCGAGTATCAGCTCCACAAGCCTCAAATCAACCCAAACTTGTGCGTGATACATTTTTGGAAGGATTATTTGTCTTCATGGAATGCTATAAAATCTGGGTTCTTTCTTTACAGCAGTAGTGCAGAAAAAATCAAACTGGTGATCTTTGTTGTCAACATTTATCAGGCTGACTCATAGAGTACAAATATTAACAGGTTTTAAGGAAGGGATGTGCATTTGATGCCTACTTAATCTGTCTCACAAACCATGGCCTGTGGAAGGAAGGGATGTCTATACTGTGGTCTTATGGAAGAGTCTGGCTAAAACCACTGACTGGGATTTGAATTTATTTCAATTTTCAATTCGGGCGTTAGGAATTATAATTTTTATCTGCATTTTTGTGGCTAGATCTGAAGTGTGCTTTGAATTCTTAAGAGAGATGCAAAATGCAGAACAAGTGAGGGGGATCATGTTTAATGCCTAGGTTTGTCTGTTTGTCAAATGAACAGGATGTTCACTCTTGACATAGAACAGAACAGAATAGAATAGAATAGAACAGAATAAGGTAATAGCATATCTTAATTGGAGTGGCAGAGGACTGGGTGGATGCCTATAGCTGTGTATGAAATCTCTGGGGCCTGTGTTTTGTTTAGAATTATTTAGCTGTTGCAGGAAGCTCATGTGCACCAGGGTAGATTTTAACTGGAAGGGTATCAGTAGGGAGAAAGCAGAAAGCCTAGAGCTGTAGAAAAATAAGAGGAGGCAGTAGAAAAGAAGTGTGTAAAAGGGTATCTATAAAGAGAGTTTGGAGAGGAACAGCATGTCACATGAAAAGAAGTAAAAATACTGGTGTGAACTCTTTGTAAGTAGTGCTTAGTAAAGGAGGGCTGGAAAAGCAGTTTTGACAGTGTATATGAGAGACAGAAAATAAAAAGAACATGAGAAGCAGAAATCCATTTGCTAAGCATTACCAGAGGAGCTTGGAAGGATGAGAGCATGCTTAGGTGGGCCAAAGAGCCAGAAGCAGTATTGTGGGTAAGAAGGACTTCAGGGTGAAGAATCAGAACTGATGTTTTTTAGAAGGCTGGAGTGGCAAAAGAGAGAAAGCAGTAAGTTAAGGGTGGTAAGAGGATCCCTTGGAAAGAGTCTGAAAAAGGTAGAGGAATAAAGCTTTAGGGAGTGTAACAGCAGAAATTAAGTGTAGGAGAAAGTGTGCTGTTAGCAAGTGCAAATAAGTGTCTTAAGATTGCCTTGATTATTACCATTTGCGTATTGTATCCTCTCAAAGAGCTAAAGTGACCAAGATACAATCATTTCTTTAAACTCAAAATCATGCCTTTAAATTTAGTAACTGTTCAAATCCCTTGTTGTGGATGTTGAAACTACGAGGAATCTGTCAGCACTGCAAGATTAAATGACTTCTATGGCACTATCCCTCCCCTGTGCAAGCAAACAGATTACAACCCCCAAACTCAACACTGATGTGGGCTTAAAGCAAAAGAAAGAATGGCTAATTTTCATCCGTGTCAGTCTCCCTTGTCCAGTTCAGAATGGGATCGCATAAATGCGGTTGAGCTGTCAAAGCAGGACTTGGACTTCCAGTACAATTTTCATAAACTGGGTCCTTTACTGATCCTCTTCCCTTGAGAACAGAGAGCTATTACCTTTGTCTTCTAAAAAGTACTTCCTTGGCCAGTTGAGCCAGTCTTAATGCTTCTGCAGTTCCTGCCACGTTGTCCATCAGTGTTTTGCTGTGCATCCTTCAGCAGTTTTTCAATCCAGGAGAGTAGATGTAGTTGAAAAGCAATAACTTTAATTTTTCATCCTCTCCTTCAGATCCTTTTTGTTTTGTTTTGATTTTTTGCCAGGGGTATTAGCAGGATAAGCTAATGGAAGAGGATTGACAGTATGCATCTAGGAAGGGATAAAACTGTGTCTGCTTAACTTGGGTTGGTGTGATTGGGCCTTTATGGTGTATTTCTGTGAGGATGCAGAAAGATCATACACACCTTATTCTTTCTGTCTTCTTCCATTGCCATTCCAGGTTTCAAACAGCCAGCACTACCCTTCCTTGCCTTGTGCCAATTCTGGTTGTCATCTGTCTTTCCATCAGCCTAACATTGTAAAGCATTCTGAAATGATGGAAGAACAGATACTTCTATCATTGCTGTTTGAAAGTGTCCTGGCTTCTGACATTTTTGTTTGAAGGAGTCCTGCCTGAGGAATTCTTCAGGAGATAGCAGAAATGAAAGCTGTTAAGCCATTGTTTGTTCAGCTGCACACAAGACCGTTCCTTTCAGAGAGAGTTCTCTGTTAGGAACTCATCATGAGGCTTTTAAAGTGCTCTTCAAACATTGAATAGCGTTTGTGTATAGTGGAGCATGATTTTTTTTTTTTATTTAGAGCAGCTAACTGAAATGTTGAGACTATGCAAGCAAGTTTGCCTGATGTTCCTATCAGTATGTGTAGATGGTGCTGTATGCATTCTGCAGGTGATGCTGGAAAAATACATTATTTGGTAGTACTAAGTGAGCTGAGTGACCTTTACTGCCTTTTAAGAAAAACGGTGTAGTGCTTTCTGGGAGTGAGCAAATGTGAAAAATTCGTCAGTCCAGCCTTATTACTGTGCCTTCAAAAATAATAACTGTAGCTAAGTTGTTATTTTACATGTTTTCTTAAGAGTTTAACAAAGGGGTTTGGAATGAGAGACTTCCTCTGCTGCAGTTAAGATTTTTGAGGGCTGGTTGTGGAACCAAAACTGAGATCAGAGTGGTACCTGCCCTCCTAATACTAGCTGAAGGCATCAGCTTTCCATTTTTAGATGAAGGTGTAGCACTGTAGCACCTCTTGGACCAATTAATGGTTGTTTTTTTCCTATTTGCATCCATCGTATTTCAGTAAAGCAGTTTTCCTGGAAGAACTGAAGATGGCACTGTTGCATACAAAATCCTGTTGACAGTGGCTGCTTCAAGCAAGAAAAAAGTTCTTGAACATAGTGCTTTGATGCTATCAGCCTCCAGCTTTGGAAAGCTGTGAGAGCCTAGGTACATCCTCTTCTCTGCAAGTAAAGGAAGGAGGATAAGGGTCTATGTGAATCCAGGGGAACACAGGGAGCACAGGTCTAGAAGCATACTGAATTGAGTTTATAAAGGCTAGGAAATGGTAGAGTACTTGCAGATAGCAAAGGCAACTGTGAATGAATGTAAATGAAATCTTCCTCTTTTTGTGGAGTATCTGATCCCTTCAAGACTGCTAATTTGTAGGAATGATTTTCGGGAGCAACTTGCTTTGGAGGAAGTATGTGTTCTGCTTGAGGAGCAGTGAGTTTCAGGGTTGTGTTGATGCAGTAGCAATAAGAGAGGTTTTTTGAATCACCTGAATGCTAAGACTCACTTTTCTAAGTGAGGTTGGATATTGTTTCCATATTGTATAGTTGGGTTTTTACCCTGTGATTTCTCAAGTCTGGCGACTCGACTTCATAAAAGATCATAGCATGTGGCATTTGATTCCCTCACTGAAAGCAGAAGTGGGTACTTGGATCTGGAGACTCACATCATTAAAGGTCACACAGCCTGTGGCATTTGGTTCCCTTACTAAAAGCAGAATTGTGTACTTGGATTGTGTGCCCACATTCACGGCCTCTAGTTCTGCAGATCTGCCTGAATGTCCTTATTGCCCTCTCTTGAATTCTTTCTCCCATTTTCCACGACCTAGCCTTTTTGCCTTCCAGGTATGCAGAGGCACAAGGATGAAGGGCAGGACGCCTGGGATATCAGAAAAAGGCCTGGGATATCAGAAAAAGGCCTGGAAATAGAGGAGTCAAACAAGCTTGAACTCCACTTCTGTATTAGAATAGGCAGCCCCCACACTTTAAAAGAAGAAATAAGGAAGAAGAGGCCATTGGAGTCTGTCAGTCGTGGTCAGAGCAAGTGGACAGTTTGAAGGGCTTCTTCATTAAACCTTCAGGGAATACTGGCTCCTGGAAAGGAGAATTGCTCGGCATTAAAGTATCCAACAGTGAAAATGCAGTAGTACGATGCAGTGTGTTTTTGCCCTTTGTTCCTGTTTTTCAACTTGGTATTCAGAAACTGTGTCCCAAGTGAATGCTTGGTAGCTTTGCTTTGATTGAGATAGCTCTTCATGTGTTGTGTGTGATTTGTGGTAATTACTGTTTGTCTGTCGTAGTGCTGTTCTGTACTTTTGTTTGGATTGTTTGACGTTTGAGGAATTTGCATCGTTATCTGGTTTTCTTAACAGCTTGGAGGATTTGGGATTTTTGAAAGGCATGCTTTTCAGTGTTTACATAAGAACAATAAGCTGATTGGTTTTTAAGAGTTGTAAATTACTTCGTGTAGTATTGCTTTGCTAATTTGAGGGATATATAAAGCCACTTTTAATCCCTTTAAAGAGAATGTTATTGCTCTTCTCTCTTCACTGTATTCGGTGTATTTTTCCAATTTTGTAGCTCCCTTTAAAAACTAGAATATCATTCCTGTATTGGCTTATTGGTGATTATTGTATGGAAAAGAGGACGTTTCTTGTTTTCTTCAAGCTGCGTTTTAAATCTCTTCAATGTCAATAGATACTGCAGTTGTCAGTCAGGAATACCTGAGCCTTCAAAGAAGTAGTTGATGTTTGTGCTGGTTCTTTTGCATATCAAAAAACTTGACAATGCCTCCTGCTAAAGAGGGATCAAGCCTTCCAGCTTTTTTCCTACTCTTTTTGAAGTCCCACAGGTTCCCAGAATGTAGGAGGCATCAGTAAGTGAAATTAAACAGCTGTAAATTAAACAGTGTCTGTAGATGACAGTCAGAGAAGCCTTTTTAATGCAAAAGTGGTGATTCCCTTTATTTTCAAAGTTCTTTTAATTTAGGAGACGGTCTGCAACCTGTGCAAATCTATCCTTTCTGCCTTCATTATGCCTGTACCACTCCACACCAACGTGATCATTTTATACCATTGCTTGCTTTCCCTATTTTTCGCTAGTTTTCTATTTCGCCAACATTTTTGTGAATTCCTAGTATTGCTTCTTACTAACTGGAAAGAATTGTGACCTTAATTGAGAACCTTCATATTTCTTGATATGTGATGAGTAAAATAGCTTTTGTCTTTTACAGGGAAGGGGAGTAGTGATTGAAGTGTAGTGTGGTAAGGCTTGTGATTCATAATTTGTTAAAATGTGCAAGCAATGATGTTATGCTTCAAAAAGGTTGTTTTAGTTCTTCATTCAACATTTTAAGATACTTGTGTGATCATGCTGTAATTACTGTAATGGTGATATAAATGCAGAAAAATGCAAGTTAAGTGTATTGTGAAAAGAATGAAGATCTTACAAAATAACTGTAAGCACACTGTACAGTATGTAAATTCACACAGTAAATTTCAGTAAATTCAGACAGCTCAGAAAGTAAAATCCAAGTCACTTGTGGAATTCTTTGATACAGATTTCCTTAAAGAGAAGCACACTGATATCTGTAATCAGAGAGGATCCTGAGTTGAAACAGGACCACAGGCATCCTCATATCCAGCTCCTGGCCTTTCACAGGACATCCCCAAGAACCAGATCATGTACCGGAGACGGTTGTCCAAATGTTTCTTGAACTCTGACAGGCTAGGTACCATGGCCAGTTCCCTAGAGAGCCTGTTCCAGTGCCTGGTGTTCCTATCCAGATATGTAGTTGCCAATTATGAAATACCTATTCTTATTACTTCTCCTTTCCTTAATTTCCAATGCAGTGAATCAGTTTTACTGATTTGTCTTGTGCCATTTGCAGCATTCCTGTAATAATTTTTAAACTCAGTAAGGCAATAAAGCTATAGGAATTTCGTAGCTTTATTTCTCTGTAACAATCCTATCACATCCCTAAAAAGTAAATGATTGATGTGGGGTGTCAAAGAAGTCTCTGCAGTAAGCTAAAGTGGCTCCTTGTGGTGTGTTTGGAGGAAAGAAATAGTAAAGCATTCTGTAAAGAAGGTTTTCCGTATTTGTTTAAAAATTAAGAGCTTGTCTAAAGTCATTTATACTGTCCTATAGAGCTGAAAGACATAATAGTACAAAAAAACTATTATACTATAATAGCTGAATACTTGCCATGTTTTTGATCATATCTCAAGAACCAGTTGTCTGGTGTTTAAAAATACTTCAGCAAAGGTACTTGAAAAGCAGTATTATTTAGTCTGAAAGTTCTTGAGGTATGTATTAGTCTTACTCTTTCATTGCCCTACAAGATGTAGTACATTGCTGATAATTACATAAGATGAATGTAGCACCCTTATACAAAATTTTACATAGTTGACTAGTGTTCTTGTTATGCTGTTCTGTCTAGCCCTCCAAGTCCAGCGCCTGAACTTTGCTTATCACAAGGGAACAGTGTTAATCATGAGCCACTCTTTTTATTTTCTTTGCTTGCAAAATTGCTACTGAAGTTAAAAATGTGAGGAAGTTTTGACAGAAGCACTCTTCTTTCTTTTTGGACCATCTCTAGCAAATTATTATTAACTGTCCCTTTGTGTGAGCAAGAAAAGATGAATGCAACTGTACATTTTCTGGGAATGGTTTCTGAAAAATACACCTGCCGGGTGTAATGTATGGAAGATGTGGACCTCCTGCATGAGGTCCTGCAAGTTGTCCATTTTCATGGTCCTGTGGAAAACAGCTCTGTTTTACCGGTATGTTTGCCCTGATAAAAGAGCGCTGTTTTTCTGGCCAGCTGCTGAAACAGTGTCTTTCTGTCTGTAATTGTGTCTTTCAGTGTATATGAAATTCAAGGGCTGTTATGGTTTATCTCAGTGCATGGAAATTGTCTGCATTGTTTCATGTAATAATCACAGCCATGTAATCTCTCCCGTTCCCCCTGATCACATTATCCAACTTTTCATTGTCCATTCTTTTCATAAGCATTTTGCCACGTGAGAGATAGGATATAATTGCATGCATAAATCAGATTTTTTAATAAGCAAAAAATAAGCAGGGTTGTACCTGCTAATACTTGCATGTGCTTGCTAATACTTGCTAGTGCTTGCCTGCTAGAGGTAAGGTCCCTAAACAGAGTTTTTCAAAATATATCCCCAATTATATTCTACCTGCTTTGGGCTTTGAAAATCTCGGTCTTTGCTGGGAGCAATACCTTGACCTTGATCGTGAACAGGATGCTTCCCTCTCCTAGTGGAGGTCAGGGTAGGTAAGTAGCAGGCCTCCCAGCCTGCTCACGCAGTTAAGTCAGGTTGATGTTTCCAAAAAGTTGTGCAAATGACATAAAATTGATTGGTGGTCAGTATGTTTTAGCAGTCACATGCTCAGCGGGGCTAGTGGTGCAGTTGTACCCTGGAAGAAATGAAATTAAGTGGTGCATTACATAATTTTCATTCTCAACAGGTGCATAGTAGCAGGGATCAAGAGGGGAAGTAGCCCAAGTATTGGCAACAATAAACATACACATTACTCTGGAGTCAGGAAGCAGAAGCAATAGGTACATACAATTTCATAGGGATTGTTTAATTTTCTTTTCTTTTCCTCACCCATAGATTAGATTCTGGATCATACCCTTTTGTTTTGTGTTAGACCATAAGTTGTTTGTTTAATCCAGATTCTGTTCATAATGCCGAAGAAGAGGAAATGTCTTTCTGAAAACAATTTCTTACCTACAGATAGGTTTTTACTATACATAATTTATTCTCTTTATGTTTGTTTGGTCTTTGACAACACTGCTTTCCCCACAAAATAGGATGTTGTATGCATGTTTTCTGTTACTTCAAGTTTAAAATCATCCTTGGATTTCACTTGCATTGCTTTAGAAAATAATCTCTGACTGTCTTTCACTATGGAAGAATTTTCTTTGACATCCATGCTAGGAATTGTTGAACACTGTTTTGAAAGAAATCTTTGTCACAGATCTGCCTACTCACTTTTAACCAAAACGTGGACTTTGTCTCACTGTAACCTTTCCACAGTTGCAGTGGAAGTTCATTGGGATGTCCTGATGATATTAAATGGAGATGAGGAAAGAGAGGAAGTTCTTCACACTATGCAGTTGCTGTATAATTAGCAAAACACATAAGTGTTCTAAATATAGTGCATGTCAGCAATCCAAAAAGAAAATAGCAAAGAGCTGACTGGAGGTAGGGCAGCATTTAAACAAGTTTATACAAGTTACTTTTCCTGTTTTCAAGACTGCAGTCTTTATTTTACAGGTCTTCTAATGAAATATTTTTTAGCTGCATCCAATGATTTGTTCAACCTAATAAATTTTAAGCTAAAATGAGTAAAGTCCTTTGGAACTGAAAATCCATGAGTATTTTTGTATATTACCTACATGTGGAGTCAGTTAGCCCCATGTGCCTGTGTTTTGAGTAGTAAAGCTATTGCTTAAAATTTATTTATGTTAAATTGAGATATCATTCTAAATTGTTTATAAGGACACCACAAAAGTGCACACATAAAACATATATTTCCCCCATTATGTCGTAGTCATAGGAAGAAGAGTCAATTGAGAATGTTTTAAAAATTTAAAAGTGTTAATTTTCATTTCAGTAAGTAGGAGACAACTTAGCAAATCTAAGCCATTTTTTTCCATAGTGAAGGAATATGTAAGAATTAATTAAGTTTAAGATAAAAGAAAGAATTAATTTGTGGAGATGGAAGTTTGTATTATCTATTTTCCCCTCTTGTGAGTCAGGTTTTCTTACTTTCATAGATACTCCCATCTATTGTCTCCCCTCAAGCACACAGGAATAGGAGTCTATCTTCCTCTCTTACAAAGAAAGAGCAAAGAACTTCAGAACTGTATTTCTTATCTTCCTTACAGATAACATGTGGTGTCATAGTACAAATGCGTAAATGATTCATGGGGAAAAAGAATGGAAACTTCTTTATGGATGCTATTGAGAGCTGGGGTTGGAGAGGTTGCCCAAATTCCATTGTAGTGTGAAACAGAAATGAGTATTGAAAACCAGTAAATTCAAATAGATTTTACTCACATTACAGAATAAATGTCATGTCTGTATTGCTGACCTAATTTCTGTTGTTAGTAGTTGGAAGCTTGTTGTGATCTCTGCTTCTCTGGGCTTTTGAGTGGTTTAAAGATCAGCCTGGAAGAGGAAGATCAGAAAGCCGTTGTGGTAGTTTTACAAATTAAATTACTGCTGAAAGGAAAAAAAAAGCTGATGTATAAAGGCTTAGGGCAGTGTCCTGTGTCTTCTTTGAGAAATTAGCCTCTCAGTGCTAGGACTCAATGCTGTTTTTAGGCAAGAGCATAATATGGAAGTAAATTATACTTGAGTTAGAAAAAAAATCTGAGCAATATCATGATTTGGGCACATTTCTCTGGTAGTCCTCCTTGCATGAAGGTATATGGTGGTGTAACTTTAGGAGCAGCTTTCACTGTGCTTGCTCTGTGCCTCTTTGTGTGCAGAGAACATGAGGGGCATGTGGTGTTCCTGTTTTCTCCTTCAGCAGCCATGACCGTGCCTGCAGTCTAACTCAGGTGCAGTAGAGGAAAGGGAGGCATAGTCCATTCCTTGTTGCCTTGACTTAAAAATATATATGAGCACATGGACTTATTTGGGCCTGGTTCCTTCCCCGCTAAACACAATTCCATACGGTGTTTTCAGCTAGATTAGTAGTTCCTAATCTTTTCATATATGGTCATCACTGCCACCACTCATTCCTCTTTCTCTGCTTTCTGCTTCTTCATTCTCATGCTTTCTTTTTCTACCTCTGTTCCTCATCGCTAGTTCTGGGAACACCAGTTATAAGCACTAATAAGCTTGCCCAAGCTCATTAACATCTATTTCTGTGTGTGATTCATTGTTGAAAACTAACAGCAGGATATTAGGTCTGATGTTAAGTTGCTCCACAGAATCTGGGCTGGAGGCCATTTTAATGTGGATATAAACTCAGTTCTTTCACAGATGGCAGCTTCCCTCAATGGCATTGATGGATATCTTTTCATTTGCCTTGTGTCAATGAATGACAAAACCATCCTGAGTATTGCTGAGTTGTTCTCTGAGTTGTATCTTGTATTCCATGATTTTAAGGGTTTTCCTTCCTTCCCTTTTCTTCTCCTCCTTTAGACCATTTCACGTGGAGCCCACAAACATAGTCAGTGTGAATGATGACATGCAAAGAGTCACTGATGAAGCTTCAGCAATGAATAAGCGGATTCATTACTACAGCAGGCTCACATCCCCTGCAGACAGGGCATTGGTAAGGCAAAGACAACCTCATTAACTGGGTGGCCTCTGACATGTTGGTCTTACACAGCCTTGATTTATATAAGCAGCAGAAATAATGTTTGGGTGGAATTGTTCTGCAGCTTGCTTTGAATCAAGTATGCGGTAGCTGAGTGCCTTCAAAAGGTTTTGTTTTATCATAAGTTGTTATTTACTTCTTGTGCAATGCCTTCACCATTAAAAGAAAATATACAAACCGCATTAATTTTATAACAGTGATCCAGGCTGCCCAGTTTTCTCCTGCCTATAAGATTAAAGCAGTGGTCAGCTGCAGTAACTGATCTGTTGAGCTAGCATGATCTGTTCATAGTGTATTTACACACATTTTGCAGAAGAAAAATGTATTTTTCTAGCTATCTAGCTAGGAATTATGTCAACTGTTTGTTGGGCTTTTCTGTCCAGGAAGAGAATTAGTTTGTAACAACCTTGTCTTTCTTTTTTTCTTTTTTTTTTTAATTGTAATTTCCTGTGATTTACAATAGTTGACTTGATGTGTTTGGGACATTTAGTTACATTGACGTTACTAATACAAGTTGGTTTTTTATCCATTTGTTAGATTGCTCCTGATCATGTCCTCCCAGCTCCTGATGAAATCTACGTGTACAGTCCATTAGGAACTGCTTTTAAAGTTGACAGTTGCACAGATGGCTATGGTAAAAACTCCAGTCTAGTGACAATGTATGTTAAACACCTTGCCATATAATAGCCATAAAATGCATGATTACTGAATGTTCTGTATTAATAGCATAACTGTTGTTAACTAAGACAAGCATGTGAAATAAGAATGGTTCTTAAAATATTCACTGGATCTTTTCTTCCTAGATTTATGATATGGAATACTATGATGGGTACATCCATATTAAGTATCCCATGGGGAATAAAACAGGTAAACTGTGAAGAATATATGCATCTGAAAATGTTTTTGGGAACCTGCCTTATTCTTCGTTTTGTAGTATATTCATAAATCAAATGAACTGTATTTCTCCCTCTTAACAGGCAGGCTTCACTTCTGGAATTGTTCTCATCTTACTGATGGGCATTTTGACTCTTTATTGCTGTTACAGAGTTGTGAAATCACGGCAAATGATACGTAAGAAATCCAAAGCTGCATCATGCAAATACTTTAAGTGTGAAATACCAATATGTATTAGATTCTGTTTGTATGTGTCTTTACTATATGTTAGACCTGACCTGTAAATAAAGGCTATGAATATCTCTATTTTTGTAGTCTGTGTCTAAGCTCTGTTTGCTAAATGACTGTCTTCCCTTATTAGATATTGGTTCAGTTTCTTGGGACCTAAGTATTATAGCCAAACACAATCTCTTCTCAAGCAGGGTTTCAGATGTTCACTTACTAAGTTTTTGGGGACTTTGGGAGTTAGAGGCATCTTTCCTCCATAAGCACTGTCCAGTTCTCTACATATCTGATCAACTTGCACAGTGGAGCAGCATGGACTGTAGCTGCATCCTCTTGTGTTGTGTGCCTGGATTACTGTAATATTTGTGTGTATTCTGTGTTGAAAGCCCTCTAAGTACTGTCAGCAGCTGAAGCAGTCACTGACAGTGGCTCTAATTAGAATGTACTTTTATTGTTCAAAACTCACCTTGGGGCTCTTCTTTGGTTGGTGCTTTTGTGCGTAAACTAACATCTCACTTGCTCAAATAAAGGCCATTAAGACCTTTGTCAGTTTGTGACTGAGCTAATTTCAGAGCAGAGGAATAGTTCATAGTCTGGCCTACTTTGCCATAACTTCTGCAAAAGGCTTTAGCTGTAAATGCATGGTGGCATTTTTGCCATGTCTTATTTCAGTGCTTCTGAAAGTATTCAAAAGTAGTATTACAGCCACAATTAAAATGTCTACTCCAGGCTTCTTCATTCAAACACTTAATGAGTGCTGTGTTTTAAAGTTACTTGCAATTTTCTTTGTCCTTAAAAGCACCGTGAATGTGTGTCAGAATATTCTTAAAAACTCCCACATTTTGTCCTGAATAGTTCTACTGTTTCTAATGTAATATTTTGTTTAGATACATTTTTGGGTTTTGTGTCTTTTTCAGCTTTAACAGATACCTCAAACTGGGAATTCCCAGATGTTTGCAAGTATTACTTTGGATCCTTTGGTCAATGGTCAAGCCTCTTATTTTCTATGGTATCACTTGTTGGAGCCATGGTTGTTTATTGGGTACTTATGTCCAACTTTCTGTTCAACACAGGGAAATTTATATACAGTAAGTAAACATTTTTGTTTAAGTTTTACAGCAATCCTTTGTAAAAGTCAAGACTGCCTTATACTGAAAAAGGATTGTCCATTTTACGTAATCTTGATTTTTCTGCTACATTGTGTAAAAAATCAATTGAGAATAAGTAACTATGTGTGGTGTTACAGGCAAAGTCCTCTGTCAAAGCCACTTTTTCCATTTCTCTCTCAAAGCGTGGTTTTGTTTGTATAGTTTAAACAACCTAAACCTGTCTGCTTGTTTCCACTGTATTTTCACTCCCCTTTTGTTTGTGTGGGTGTATGTATTTGAACAGCCATGTAACAGGCTAGACTGTTGAAATTATTCAGGATAATGAAAAAAACACAGTTTCATTATAAAATTCAACAAACACACTTAAAATACTGCAATATAGGAAGTTTTTGCAAGCGTCCATTAGGAAGCAATGAACGCTACTGAAGTAAAAATGATTCTTAGTGTGGCATTGCTACAAAATAAAACACATTGGGTTTTTATTCCTGGTACTTGCTCAGGCACACGAGCATTTGTGCGTGTAATCAGTGTAGAATTGTGGGAATTGGTGATGGAATTGGGAGCTTTGAAAATCTGAGTCATTGAGTAGGTTGACTAAGATTTAAAATACTCTGTTTTGAGGGTTATCTCTGAGACAAATAACAGCACAGACGGTTAAGCCTGTTAAACAGTTTTTAATTAGAATTTCCACTATCCCTATAGGACATATTTTACTATATTGGTTAATGACTGATGAATTGTATAGCTGACCTAATTTATATGTTGTTACAGACATTTCATTTTAGGCTTTGGGTTTTTTTTTAAAATGTTTAACACTTTAATCTTAAATTATTCTAAATTAAATAATGCCAGTTCTAATAAATGGCATTATTATTATAAATGGCATAAATAAAATTTAAAATGGTGAAAAGATCTTATTTTCTAGGAAAAAGTCCTGCTTTTCCATAGGACTGGCATGTTACTTTATCCCTTATCTATATTTGTTTGGAGTTTTTAATTAAGTTGTGCAGTCTAAGATAACAATCACTGGCTACTTGTCCTAACTTTCATTTTAGGTAATTACTAGGTAATAAAATGCATAATAGGATGTAGGTTTGACACAGTGGCATCTTCCAGCCACGTGTTTCTAAGTATTCTAAGCAGGAATTCAGTAAATACTCCTAAGTATTCAGCAGCAGCTTATATTTTGTTTAATACATTCAGATGACTTCTTAAAACATCTGCACATACAGTTTAGGTGGGAGAAAATTGATTTTCTGCAGGAAGATGGTCTAGAAATCTGTAGGATACAATGCAATAATTGTGCAATATCTGTCTTGTGCTGAGTGCAATATGATGTCTTTAACATGGTGTTGCATGATCTTGTTCATTTTCTGTTTTATGGGAAAAACAAGATCCACAAGTGAAATTGCTAGTCCTAAACTGCTTTTTAAGTACAGAAGAAACACAAGTTGACATCTATAACAAATTTGAAAGTGCTTTAATTCAGTAGAAGCTATTATTTTTAATAGCTTCTGACTAGGTACTTTTTTTTTAAATTAAGAACAAAAAATTGTGATTTTAGTTAAATATTCTGATTTTTTTATATTCTGAACTAGTAATAATAAGTATGAGAAACTTGTTTGTGATTCAGGGTGTCATAAATCAAAATAAAGAAAGAGGAAACGGTTTTCTTCCCACAAGACCATTTGCTTTCTTTATGAGAAACAAGCTGCTGTTAATTGCATGTAAAAAATCTGAAGCCAGCTGCCCCACTTGATTTTCTGTGCATAACATGCCCACATGCAACAGAAGCAAAATTTAACCAGTGATACACTAATTTGGTTTCCAAGCTGATGGAGCATTTTCTGTGCATATATATACACATCATACATAAATATAATGAAATTGCTATCCAGTACCCTTATAAAGGTGAGGTTGCAGAAACTTGGAAGTAACTGGTGTGGTATATCACTAAAGTAGCACAGGAGTGTACTGGAACTAAAACACTGCTAGAGATACCTGTACAACAGTGAGGCTTTAACCTTTTTCCAGGGTTTCCCACAGAAGCGTGGAAAAAGCGTCCCACAGAGCCTCTTCTGAAAAAGAAAATAATAGAAAATTATTAAGGGAAGCTTTTTCTGGACTAGGAGTATGTTAGTATGCCCTTTTTTTCTGTCCCAAAAGAGGCTGGATTTAAGATGCATCTCCTCACTGGCCTACTGTTCAGCACTACTGAGTAGCTGGGCGAAGTGGAGGTGTGCTTGTGGAACAGGAATCCTGGGAGTGGGGAGTCTTTGGAAACTTGTAAATGGACAGGGCTTCTGAGAAGAAAGTAATACAGTGTAGAGCTACTTCAAAACACTTCTACAGTAGTTAGAAAAACTTTCAGTTGGGTCTTGGGCGGGGAGTGAAAGCTGCTGTGTTGTTGCTCTGATACAATTTTCCAAAATATTTTTTTACTTAATTTTAGTCAAGTAAACAGATGAAAGCCTAATAGCAGGTATGGGACATTGATTGTGAGATTTTCTTCTTTGCAGACTTTGTTCATGACATTAATGTAACAGATATTGTTCCTGGCACCAATGGAAGTAACAAAGGTAAGAAGCACTTACAGTATTGTGTTACCAGTTTTGGTTGGGGGTTTAAAGGCAAATCATCGACTTTCAATGCCTAACCACATGCCAGTTATAAAGTGTGTATCATAAGTTCTAACTGTATGTTTCTTAAGAAACTGTAAATTTCTGTCTGGGATTTGTACTTCCACAAATAACCACATACTTGGAGATCTAACTGAATAACTGGGGAAGTAAAAAATAAGTTTAAAAAGTGGAGGTGAGAATAAGTATTAAAGAGCCAGTTACAAGTTTCTCTATGCCCAGATGCATCCTCCTTAAAAGCTTTACTGTTAACTTTTTAACAGTAGTTGCACAATGAGGAATTGCCTTAAGGAATTTTAATTTTCACACCCTAAATTTGAGGCGCCTTAGTTCTGTTTACTGGTTAAAATCTTGGCCGGGGCAACTTTACTACTCACAAGTTGTGCAGCAAGATTATTTTTTTAAAAAACTTACGTAAGAACAGTTTTTTTGATGCTGGGTGCAAAAAAGAAACAAGTGTCAGGCAACTTGCACCTCTGCTTGTGCTTTTTGGAGAGTGTGACATTGGCACAGCTAAGGGAAGAAACTGCAGTCAAGTATTAACCTAGATCTGTTCCAAGTTCTTAAGTGTAGGCAAAATAATGTAGAACGAAGGGAGGAGCAAAGCAAGGCAGGCGTTGTCAACCCCTGAATCTTTTCTGCCTCTGTCACAGTGACAGAATCCATACTGCGTTCTTAGGAAGCAGAAAGCTTTCTCTATCCTGAGTGCATGAGGAATGAGGAAACATATCACTGCCAGCTGGGCCGCTGTGTGTAAAACTAGCTGCAGCTGTGTTTCTGGAGAACAGATGTTGGAGTCAGGCAAAGGAGTTGAGAAATAATTCTGAAAACCAGTTTATTTGTGTTTGAGCTAGTGTTGAATCCTGCTCCTGTAACAGTTCCCACCAGCTAGGCACCGATTTGTGTGCTCTCTTGCTTCTGCTGTTCTCTCCCATGCTTATGCAGCAGGGGGTATAACTTGGAGGCAAAGTAGACAATATTGCACACCATCCTCCACCAACTAGAAGATTTAAAGCAGCTGCTACACAAAATTAAGGGCTGTCAGATGTTCAAGTGACTCTTGACAGGACATTCGGGAGATCAGTAAGAAAAAAAGCCTTTTTCAAGGTTTGTGGAACAAGCCTCTTTTAAGCAAGAAATTTGTCAGAATGCTTTTTATGCCTGTGCCTTTTTGACAGAACAGGAATGGAGACAGTGCAGGATAGTAGCTGCTGACTATTGTGGGATGCCAGGATTTTAAATAAGACATTAATGAGAACAGTAAGTTTTATATTTCAACACAGAGCTTCATAGGCATGTGTTCCTCAGAGGATCCTCTTGGTTGATTTTTTGCAGTCACTTGTTCAGGTGCTGCCATTGATCAGCCTCCATGTAAGAGGAGTATGACATTCCCTCTTAGCACTGTTACTGGAGCACATCTTAAATTTGTTGTATTGTGTTGTTGGCAGTGACGTACTTGGCCCCTGTCATGGCACAAAGATGACAAGAGTGTTTTTGTTCAGTGTATGGGTTTTCAACCTGCTAGTTGTTACAGTAGCTTTCTTGTAATCCTTAGTTTGTTTTTAGAGCAATTTACGGTAATTCAGGCTTTTCAGTGCACTTGGATTTTGGTTGATATGATCTTACTGAAGTGTGCAGGGACAGAGTAGGATGCTAAATATGCAGCCAGATGCAGGGGAGCATTGCTATGACTTGATTCCAGCAGGTGCACATGGGCACTGAACAAGCTTCATTATAGGTATGTGACTTAGAAGAGTGATCCTTAGAAGGGTGTCACAACTTGGGCTTCAGATAAATTATCATCTTTGTTGTGCTCTGCCAGGAGAACTATACCACTGTCAGATCAGAGTGCAAGATGCCTAGCAGTGGAATCTTAACAATGAATTCCTGAATAAAAAAACAAGCAGACGTTAGGAACTGAGATACTGAACACTGCACTGGAGCAGTCCTCAGTAGGAAAAACACACCAGCAGTTGTGGGCTCTTGGCTCTGAATATTCTATGCAAATAAAACCCTTGTCATCTGAGGATATTTTTCTTTTCCTTTCTTCCAGTCATTTGTCCAAATGCTGCTGGTGATCTCCCACCACAGAACAGGAGTGTGATGTTCTCTTCTGGCAACAGAACAGGTTTTGAACTCTTTGAGGAATGGTGGGACAAATCAAAAACAGTACCATTTTACCTGATTGCAGTTCTTCTACCCCTGCTAAATCTGAAGTCTCCATCATTCTTTGCGAAGTTTAATGTCCTAGGTAGGTAACAAATAGTATTAAAGCATTGGTTCTCTGTGGCTGAAGTGTATAGAAGACAGTGAAAACTACTCCAGTGAGTAGAATCAAAAAATCTTTCAGGTTGGAAAAGTCGGTAAGGTTATTGAGTGCAACTCTTGACCCAACACTGTCAAGTCCACCACTAAACCATGAGTGCTATATCTATATCTGCACATTGTTTAATACATATAGGGATGGTAGATCAATAATTTCTCTGGATAGCCTGTTCCAAAGCTTGACAACTGAGAAGAACGTTTTCCAAATCTGAACATTCCCTGGCACAGCTTGAGGCCATGTCCTCTCACCCTGTCAGTGGATGCCTGGGAGAAGAGACCAAGCCTCACCTGGCCACAGCCTCCTTTCAGGCAGCTGTAGAGAGTGATAAGGTCACCCCTGAGCCTCCTTTTCTCCAGGATAAACACCCCCAGCTCCCTCAGCTGCTCCTCACAGGACTTGTGCTCCAGACCCTTCATTAGCTTCATTTCATTTAGTGTGCTTTCCCTAGACACTTCTAGCATCTCAATGTCCTTCTTGACTTGAGGGGCCCAAAACTGGTAGTATTCATGTCACAGGGGCAGCCTCACCAGTGCCCAGTACAGGGGACAATCCCTGCCCTGGCCCTGCTGCCCACACCATGGCTGATCCATGCCAGGATGCCATTGGCCTTCTTGGCCACCTGTCAGCACATTGTCAGCCCATGTTCAGCTTCTGTCAATCAGCACATCCAGATCCTTTTCCATTACGCAGCTTTCCAGCCAGTGTTCCAGTATTCTGGTGGTAGCCCATGTTGTACCTCACAGTGGGTTGTTGGTTGGTTTATTGACCCCAAGGGCTTTGTCTGCTGCTTTCCTTGAATGTCACAGGTACTAGGGAGTTCATTTTCTTCCTTTTTCTTAGCTTGATAATACTGTGAAACAAATTCCATTACATCTACAACAGATTGTCCCAAATGGTTCTATACATACTACTGTGCAGCATTTGATACATGTTGCCTTGGTGTGGTCAGGCATACTCTTCCTCCTCCAGTAAACATTTCAAACCAGCAGTTGCTTCTGATATGAAGTCATTTTCTGCCAGTCAGGTGATTAATTAATCACAACATATTTGTCCCAACTTCCAGTATTGTGGATTCTTCTGTGCTGCAGAGGAAACAATTGTGACTTGCTGCTTACATGTCTTGAGGTGGAAGGCCAAGTTGGGTGGGGCTGGTAAAGTGAGTAAAGGGTATGCAGGATGGGTGGAGCTGGTCACAGTTCAGGGAGTAGAAGATGGCTGAGGGGTAGCACTGAAGCCCACAATGAAGAGGAAGAGAAAACTAGATGTGGATCAGAGGTTGAAAGGAGGTAGAGGACAGGGATTTGAAGGTCTAGTTTGTTCATCTGTTCCATAGTGACACTTTATCAGAGCTTGGAGCTGCTCTTGCTGAAACCACTAAATGAAAATACCACATGGGAATTTGGGTACTTGATACTTCTTCTGTGCAAAAGGTGTAGGATTTATTTAGAAAAAAATTTAAAAGCCAGAATATTAATTACTCATTGCTTCAGTAGATTATTATGTAATTCAGAAGTAAAATTGCCTTAATTTTTGTAAATCTTGCAGTTTATGGGACAAGAAAAAAAGGAAGGCAATTTTGAGATTATGAAATTTATCTCAGTAGAGTTTTACTTATTTTGATACCCATGGAAACAGAAGTCATTAGGAAGCTACAGAGTATTTTAGCTGATCTTCACATACAGAACCTTTTATTTTCCTAATTTCTTGACTGTGCTCAAGAAATTAGCAATCAAATGATAATTCCTTCTGTTTATTTTTTAATCTGCTGGGTTAAAATGATGGGGTTTTGTCTTCACGTACTTACAGCCTGTTCTCTGCTCACTAGCAGCATTATTGGCCATGAGGTTCATTGTGGTAGCCTTAATTATTGTTGTTCAATTTCCTTCAGTTTTTAGGTAGTTACTGTTCTGCTCTTGTCTCTTTCAAATGGCTGACACACCACCAATATACCCTCCATTACACAGGTATACACAGCAAGGCATTATGCCCATCCATGATGTCATTTGCAGTCCTTAAGCTGTGCAGGTGCATCCTGGATGCCTCTTAACCAATGAGATGGAATGCAAATCCAGTATTATAATAAAGATTATCCAAAGTTACAATTAACACAGTGTTTTAATCAGTAGTATTGAAGTGTCATTATCAACTTCTAGCTCCCAGTAAAGTTCATAAGTGCAGTAATTTCACTTTCCATTGAGCTGTTTGATTCAAAAAGTCAGTTACTAGATGAACATTGTAATAACTGCAGTGCTATGATCAATCTCCACTTAGACTGAAATCCTGGCAGTGGAAGCTGGAACTGCTCTGTTTGCCTAAAGACCTACCTGCCCAGTAATGGGATTACAGGGTACTTCCTCTGCTGTCACAAGCACCTGGAAGTTATTAAACTTGCTGGAAGTTTACGGTGTGTGCATGTGCATTATTTTTTCTCTCTGACCTATAAGAGAAGTAAAGAAGAAGTTTAGACCTAGTCTTCTGTTAGGAATGAATACCGTAACTGTTTGACTACTAGTAACTAGATGGATGGAGGAGAAATTAAACCCTGCATAAATACTTTCTACTATATCATGGTATTTGTTTGGCTCTTGTTTTTTCCAGGTACAGTTTCAGTTGTCTACTTAGTTTTTCTGGTTACAGTAAAGGCTGCTCATCTGGGAATACACTTAGAATTCAACTGGTTTACAGAGAATGAATTTTTTGTACCAGGTAAGATAGTTGAAATGCAGTGGTGAAGTATATATTTGGTGAGTTTAATATTTTTTTTTCTCTCATTTACCTTTTAACACTTCTGAGACGTAAATAGAGGAAATGCTGTCTGATGTTGCAAGTAGAGAAAAGATCCCTCTGGACCAAGTGGAAAAGAATCCCTTTCCCAGTGATGTTCCTTAGATAACAGGAGTATCAACATTAGGGAAGAAAAGAAGTGCCTATCAGAGGAACCTTCAACATGCATCTTGTGACAGAGAGCTTGCCATAGTCCTGTTTCACCTGTGTTATTTTAAGTTCTGTTTGCACCAGATTCAGATCATACCTGTTTCAGAAGCAATTAGAAATGACAGACTGTAGGCAGACTGACTGTTAAGGGTGCTTTAAGTTCCCCACACACTGTCTTCCTTAAATGAAATATCTCATTCATCATAATATGCAAGTACAGTTTTCCTGTACTTCCCAGTCTGTCTCAAGTTTTTGACCATAATCTTAGTAGCTCTTCTCTTTCAAACACCCATTAGCCAGTTTTATACCATCAATACCCATCAGTATGTTTTTCTTCTTGAAGGTTGTTTGATGGCTATTTGTTCTTTCCAAATTACTGTTAAAATTTCTCTGTGAGATGCCATAGTGATAAACAAGTGGCACTTGGTATTGCTTGAACGGCTAGCCTAAAGAGATCAAGTTTCTTTTATAAGAAACCTGGAATAAGAGAATGAGGGTTAGGTCCTAGTTGCTTTTTCCCCATCCTTTACAATAAGCAAAATTTTATGACCAGTTAGGTCCAGGGACTGTGTCCTGTACATTAGAATAGTATCACTTCTTCTGTTCTTAGAAACAAGCTAGAAAAATGAGTTGTAGTGACGCACATGCCGCAGGCCGTTGAGAAGTGGAGCACCCAGTAGTTTGATTAATTTGGCAAAAACTCCTAGTACTGCTTGGAGATAGAAAAAGCAGGTAGCTAATGCATACAAATACAGCTTCCAAGAGATTCTGAAACTGTCAGTTTGCTTTTTATTATTGAAGTGGTGGATGGAAAACGAGCCTAGAAGTCGAGCCCGGAAATCACTTGCACTCTCAATTCTGTCAGTAGCACATCATGCTAATTACGTATTGAAGGTACAGTGAAACCAGCTCTAGGGAAAGCTTATTCTTTTCCTTTGGATAACCCCTACATTAGTTGCCTGGAGTATGTTTACTTTCGTAATTTCATAGCACTTTATAGAAGTCTGTTTTAAATATGTTTGCATGGAGCTCTCTGTGGTTTGTTCTGTAAGGATTTGTGAACTTCTGAAGTGTTGTGCTGTACTTCTGGATGCTTTTCAGAAGCTGAGCTATCTTATGGTTCTCTAATTGCTGGTAGCACTCTAAAGAGTAAATACATTCTTAGGTAATACCAACTAAGATGGTGCTTTAATGATATTACACCTTGGTGAATTCTTAGACCATTTGCAGCACTTCAAGAACCACTACCTTGTGAACATCTTTTGAGTATTAAAAGAAGCAGAAAAATGCTATTCTCGTGGAGACAAGAAGAAAATTTTTCTTCATACATGCTGTGAAGCATGATAAGAAATTGCTCTGCCTTTTTTCATGCCCTGGCTTGTAAGCAGAACCTCTTAAATATCTTCAGATGTAATTTTTCTTTTGGTAGCATAAGTGACTTTTTAATAACTAAATTTACCCTGTATAACTATAAATAACTAATTTACCCTGTTCACAGGGTAAATGAGTCCTTCCCTCCATCTCCCTCTTTAGGAACCTGTATGTATACAGCCTCACTGATGCCAATTCCAATTTCACAAATGATTTCCATTTAAACTGTTGAGAAGCAGAAAAGCTTTTATGTACCAATCTTAAATTATCCTAGTAATCACTGATGGTTGGAGTCTATCAGAGAAGCCTTGCTGGAAAATGTATTCTATAGTAACTACTGTCTTCATGCATCTTGTACTTCCTGATTAAATATCTCCATTGGCTATGGTCAAATATGGGCTAGATTGTCCCATTTCAAGGTGGAGGTTCATGAGTTTGCCAGTACCTTCCAGAGCACTGTATGTCATCTGCATTTTGTCATTGCTTGTTTCAAAGAAATAATTTTAAAACACTTTTTTTTCTTTGTTTAGAGTTTAGAATTCTGTTCCCTCAGCTCACAGGGGTTCTAACACTTGCCTTCTTCATCCACAATTGTGTAATCACACTTCTTCAGAATAACAGGAATCAAGAAAACAATGTAAGTAATTTCACAAGACTGTGCTTATTTATTGCAGATTGCCAGACAACAGTAATTTTTTCCTGTGATTTGATAAGAAAAAAGTTACACCTTCTTTTCCTTGCTATGAGGGAGTAACAGATAAATTACAAATTCATTTACATAAAAGCCCCAAGGAATGCCCCAAAATTACCAGCTGATATTAAACGGCCAAATTGCACACAAGAAGCAGATGATTTGACTATGTCATAGGACTCAATGAAAACTGACCAATTTAAGAATGAAAAATTGTGGAAAATGTTTGATATGTGAGTGATTTTAGCAGAATCCTGAACAGTAGTTTTGGGGTCTAGGTAATACCTGTTCTCAGAGTTGCTTCTGTAGTTTTGTCTCACAGTCCTAGTCCGTAGAGAGACTTGGATTTAGGAAATTTAGGAAATCCGAAAGTTGGATTTAGGAAATCCTGCAAGTTGAAGACTGGATCAGGAGGCTTTTTCATATATAGTCTTTGGACTGGTGCTTTGCCCTTGCAAAAGTTAAGCTCTGCTCCTCCAGATGGAACTGCATTCTTTGTTAATATCTTCCCATTATAAAATACCAAATGGAGTAAACACAATACACAGAGTCTGAGAGTAACTTTTACTGTAATTTTTTTATTTTTTTCCGCCCTATTTCCGAGGATTTTCATCCAGCTTTATTTAAATGTTAGCTGTAAAGGTACCTGCAATAACATAAAAAGTTTTTTAAATACTAGCTGTATGAAAAACTGTAGTGAAATCATAGAATCCCAGAATGCTTGAGGTTGTAAGGAGCCTCTGGGTGTCATCTTGTTCCCCCTACTGAATCAGTGCCACTAAGAGCCAGATGCCTATACAGCACATCAGATAAAATATATCAGATTTGATTATTTGACAGTGAAGTGCAGATTATGTACCGATGCAATGAGATGACCTCTTAGGCTTTAGAAGTCTGCATAGTTACTTCCTTTTACCTATGAATCAAGGCCAGCTTGTGAATGATGTATTTGCAGAGGAGTCATGAATTCTCCTCCAGGAAGCCTTCTGGGGGCTTAGGGCTTCTCAGAAACTAGTTTTAACAGCTGGAGGTCTGGGCAAAGAAGGCTAAATAAGCTTTTCTCTATTTCCTTAAGAAAAAATTATGATGTGGAGAAGGGCAAGATTTCTCTTTAACTGTGGCTTTCAAATTGCAAAGTCAAGATCTCCAGCAATCAGCTCTATATGCAGAGGAGGCCTAATACCCTCATTCCATCTTCAAGTTTTTCCTGAGTGTTTCCCTGCTCCGTTTACATCAGAGCCAACAATCAGATGCAAAGAGCAGCACCTGGAGTGTTCTCCAGCTTGCTTTTCCTGTGTGAAGGAGGAAGAAACTGCTGCTTGCATTTGAATCAGCTTTTCTAATACCCTCCCTGGAGCTTAACTTGAATTTCCAAGTCAGCCATAGCTTGATCTGAAGCCCTTAAAAAAACTCTGCATTCCAGAAGAATGTTCAAATTGCTTAGAAAGGATAGCTTTGAAGCATGGCAGGCAAGATTTTTAATGGCAAAACAAATCTCTGTGTAATTCTTGTACTAGTTTTATTTGGCTGGAGATTGGTTTTCCTCTTTGTAACTGTACAGGAGCCTTTCACCTACATCTCAAAAGTGCTTTGCAAATGTTAATGAAGTACCTATGCTCTTGAAGAGCTGTTTTGTGATTATGTCACAAAGCTGCTGGGCTAAGTCGGAGATTTCCATATGCATAGGGGTCTTGCCCTTGTCATAGGTCATGGGAGGGGGTTCCCATATATTTGCAGGGTGCTTTCTTCTCTCAGTATGTGATGTGGTGATACTGACATAGCTCCATGGATAAAAACTTCACTGTTTTATTGATGGACCTGTTAACATGGCACTTTCCTCAGTGTTCTGTCAAAAGTCACAGAACTTGGCAAGCTGGAAAAGCACTGTTTTAGTCTTGAGCAAAACTTACTGAAACTAGAGGTCAGAACAGAACAACTCTCTGGGGAGACGAAAAGAGTAAGACAAACAATAACATTCCTCTTATGGAGTCAGAAATTCAAAACAATAGCAGCTTCCATTCTGGTCACAGGCATGCATCACAGCCCAAAGCTAAAATACACATGGGGGAGGATTGCTCTGGCCACTATTCCCGTACAGTGGTGTGGGTGTGAGAAGAGAAGAGCAGTGCACCAGAGTAAGCCACATGTCAGCAGCACAGCCTGGAGAAGCCCTGTGAGCAGGTTTTTAGTCTGCAGTTCAGAATTGTGCTTCCTGGTCCCATCTCCCACTGCTGCTGCCTCCTTGTATTTATTAATGTAAGTTTTTGTACAGTGTCAGTCAAATGGTTCAAAAACAAATTGCATAGGAAATGTAACCCACCCACAAAAAGGAGTGTAGGTGTGGGTTTTAGTTGGTTGTTTTTTTCCTGATTCATATTTGTGATCAGTTTCCCTGAGCCACACTACGGATGCTACACAAGCCCACCATGATCTACAGGCATAAATACACTGGTGCTGTCTCCTAACAGTTATTTGTGGATATACCTGGGAGAAAGGCTGTGACTGGGGAGATGTTTTTTGTCTAGGTATTAACTGCAGAATGCATGGAGCTGTAAATGGTATTTATTTTCTGCAGTATTGAAACACTTTATTCCCTGTAAACAGTGTGAGCTTCTAGTGATGCCACCATACCATTGGTTTCTGTTTCCTGCCAAAACTATGCACAACATCATCCATCCTGGTGAAGTACTTATTTTTGTGTCACCCAGTTAAATGTTACTACTTGCCCTTGATGCGTGAGCAGGTGAAGTCTATTTTTATGCTATAGATCAAAGTCCTGTTGAGATATTACAGAAACAGCATCTCTCTTGAGGAAACACTAACCTGAAATGGGATGAGCAAAAGGTATTTCAAATGTGGTAATCATTACTAAGCACTGATACAGGCTTCTCCAGCCAAGAAGCAGCTCCACAAAGTAGCTTTCACTGGTACTGAGGAAGGAAGGAAGGGAACTGTTTTCTCCATGGCATTCAGCAGGCAAATCAAGGCCTGGAAGTAGCCTATAGCAGTGTCATGTAAGAAATGTCCATAGATCCACAGAGCCTTCTCTGTGCCATGTCAGTTTTTTTTTTCCTGGCCAGCACCTGAATACTGACTGCTCTGTGGATGTGATGCAGTGTCTTGAACTTTCAGGGTTGTCTTTGTTAGCTCCATGACTCATCCTTTTGTTAGGAGGCTGATTTCTTCCTTTGTTCTACTGCTGCTGCCAGCCTTGATCACCCAATTTTCTCTTCTTCCAGCAGCACTTCTAACACTTTGTTCTGTGGATCTGACCAGGAGAGCTCCCTGTCAGCAGTAACTGCAGCTGACATACTCTCCAAGCTCTGTCTGAAAATCTGCCTGTTACTTCAGTTGTATTTGAGAAGGGTTTGGCATGTGTCAGGCTGTGTTCCTTATGGACTGTGACCTGCATGTTACCTTAGATCCTTACTTCGAGACTTCACCCGTGATTCTACAAATACTTCCTGCTTGCAACATTGTTTTTTCTACAAGTTTGACTCTTAAACTTTGGCTGTAAGAATTGCTATATTTTTATGCTTAGACAGCTTTCACCACAGCAATGTCCACTTTGAATGTAAATGCCTCAAGTATCATATTTAAAACAAAAAAGTGTAGTTATTGCTCTTAATTAAAATAATAATTTTATCTCACCCCCGTATGTCCTTTTATTTTATCTGGAATTGTGCTTTCTAAACAGTACTGTCAAGGTCTTTAGGGAGTGAACCCAGGTCTCTTGAGGAATGATGAACATTAATCAAAAGATGTTCCTGTTATGTAAACACATGTTGTTGTACAAAGGTAACTATTTATACACAGAAGCATGTATTTGGAAGGGAGCTGATGGAGAAAAAAGATTGTTTGAGAAAAAAATAAATCCAGGTTTTCAAGTTGTCTGTTTCTTTTTTAGTAGCTTATTCAAATCAAAGTCTGGGTACTCTGTATGGTGACAACAAACAGAGAAAACAGTCTGTTGGGTTACATGCTATGAAAATAAATTATCAAAATTATCTCAGCACTTAGTTTCAGTGCAGGTTAAAGCATACACCCTTAAGAATTCTGGAAACATGAACTGGTTAGTAGTGGTGCAAGTACCTGTTGGAGATAATAGCACATCACTTACCTACCATTTTTCATATCCAGAGGAAGCACTGAGAATTTTATTTCAGATTTCTTGCCCTCACAAGTCTATGCACTCGTCTCAGCAAAAATAGTTTTACAGTTGGTTCTAGAACTTATGTGTAGGCAGAGTACAAATAGCAACTGTGAGTTAGTATACTGTTTTTAGGTGTCAGGTCTACACCTAAAATACCACATTTAAAGCAGGTTTTGGCAGATGATGTGCATTAAGAAGGTTTTGGATGTCTTTTGAAAAATTGTCCAAGTCCTGTCCTCAAGAGATGCGAGTCTATGTCTCTTTGTAAAACCACCTTATTGTGTCTCTGAGTCCTGAAATTAATGGAAGTTATTCATAAATACCTGCAAGAAATTTGGTTGCTTATATTTAATATTCTTAAAATAAGTTCTTACGGTGGGTGGCATCAGTGCTTTTGAAGATGTAGATGTTATATAAAAACCTGTACAACTTCTCATGTCACAAGGAGAAATTCTGCATATAATTTAAAGAAAAGCTGAGCTGACTGCTCAGCTTCTGATGAAAGTTGACAGTCCTTACCCAATGGCCAGTATGAGGAGAGTGAAATGTAAGGAATCATCTTCCTTGTGCATTTAACTGCAGGAGGAAGAGGATGCAGGTAGAAATGTGCAGCTGCTGGGAGCTTGAAGGCCACCCTGGAATATGTTGAAATCATACTTTTTCCCATCAGCCTCTAAGAGGCAAATAATATTCCTCATCAGACAGCAATCTTCTACCCCAAAAGCACTGGCAAAATGAATAGGGGATTCCACGTCTTTCACAAAAAACTGGCTTCAATCTGAATTTCTCTCACAACTCATAATCTTATTTTATACTTTGCTGGGGGATTGCCTTGCCCTTGGCAGAGCCTGGAGTAGTGTAGGATATGCTTATTTTGTCAGTGAGATAGGGTGAAGAAGCACTTAGGGAAGCATTTCCATGCACAGATGTGAGGAAGATTTGCTCATGCTCAGTGAGCTGGCTGGAGGTGATAATTTTCATCCTGGTCTGGAAACCAGTATAATCCTAATAATTTGGTACTATGCCTGAGCTAGTACGACCTGCTTCTCAGTCTTGGGAAAACATAGTCTTGTATTGAAACATTACTAGTAATCTGTTAAGAAGCTGATGATTAGCAGCAGCTGAACAAATGGTTTGCTGTAAGGTGACGAGTGTTTTGTACTGTAACATAAGCTTATACAGAGTTTAGTTAGCTAATAGCTAGAAACAAATGGTCTCCCTCTTTATTTCCAAAGGAAGGAATTTATGTAGAAGGACAAGTACATTGCTGTGAGATCAGTCTGATGAATATGTGGATTCTTTAGTTTCATAAAGTACTTAATTAGTTTTGCCAGTTATTTTCATGTAATAAATGTGTGATTATTTTTGTGTAGTAGAAAATATTTGTATATATTATATATCTTAAAAAGATAGCCAAAATTTTCAGAACTGAACATTGAAGTTTAGGTTTAAATCCATACCTAAGTGTATGTAGTGTAGTTATGTGTGGATTTAGGACCCTAGCTTTGACACTACTTCCTTAAAACCTTTGATTAAATTCCTTTGTATTATATCTGCAGTTGGGTAGACTAATGTCTTTGATTGCAAGATTGTATTCATTACAAGAAATTTAACATAGGGCTTTCTGGACTTTCTGTCTTAGACAGGAGAGTCTGTGTTCCAAGGGTCTTAGTAGGTGGATGTACGAATGTAGAAGGGATTCCTTGTTTGTTTTAATAACTAGTGTATACTTATGCATCAGGAGTAACATGCTACATCTATTAGCATGTCTCCTTCATGGTGCCTTTTTTGTATGTTGAGAAATAAACAATACTTGTCTAGCACCACTTTGGGGTATTTCCTTGCAGCTTTCTCCTCTGATCAGAACCAGGTCTGAAGTCTCCATCCACACAGTAGGAAGTAAAAATAAAAATGTACAAGTGATAGTAGTCAATATAAGAAAGCAATGCATGTAAAAGTAACAGTAATACATGAAATAGAAATCTTCTTATGAGGTTTTTATTTCATCTGGTTTTGCGTGTAAGTGCTGACCAAAATAAAATCTTGTTTTTCCTCAGGTGAGAGACCTCTCTATTGCATACTTCCTGGTTGGACTAACATATCTCTATGTTGGAGTGATAATTTTTGCGTCTTTTCCTTCTCCACCATTATCCAAAGAATGCATTGAACAGGTGAGATATTCTACTGCAGTACGTATTTCATGGAATCACAAAATGGGTTTTTTGGGGGGACCGAAGTGGGTCATCTGGTCCAGCCTACCTGCTCAAGCAGGGCCGTCCCAGAGCATGTGGCACAGGACTGCATCCAGATGGTTCTGGAATAGCTTCAGTGAGGGAGACTCCAGAACTTCTGTGGACAGTCTGTTCATGGTGTAGTCACTCACACTGTGAAGAAGTTCTTCCTCATGTTCAACTGGAACTCTCTGTGCATCAGTTTATGCCCATCGTCTCTTGTCTATTGCTTGGCACCACCAAGAAGAGCCAGATCACCTCTGGCACCTTCCTTTCACCTGTATACACCAATGAGGTGCAACAGGAATAGGCCCAGCTCCCCCAGCCTTTCCTTGTAAGAGATATGCTCCAGTTCCTTGGTCATCTTTGTAGCCCTGAGCTGGACCCACTCCAGGAGCTCCATGTCTGTTGTACTGAGAAGCCCAGAACTGAACACAGCACTCCAGATGTGCCTCACCATGGCTGAGTAGAGGGGCAGGATCACCTACCTCAACCTGCTGGCAATGCTCTTCCTAATACGTGTCATGATGAATATATTTATATTTGATATATAAAAATATAAATATATTTGTCCTTAACCTTTTAATAAATACACAATTAAAAAAACCCCAACTACTGCTACTTGCTTCATGATTCACCCTGGCAGGAGCATCTGTGCTTGACTGTGGTCAGTTGGTGGGACACCTCATGGACACTACCAATAAATACACAATTAAAAAAACCCCAACTACTGCTACTTGCTTCATGATTCACCCTGGCAGGAGCATCTGTGCTTGATGCCTTGATGACCACTTTTATGTGGTCAGTTGGTGGGACACCTCGTGGGCACTACCACGAACAGATGAGTAATGCTTGTGTTATCTCATTTATATTCATAAATGGTTCCCAATATTTCGGTGAAAAACAAACATTTAGTAAATACTCTGCGAAAGTGGTGAAGGACCAAAATGAACAAGTGAACAGTTGAGCTTTTCATTTCTTTAGCTTCTTTAATCCTGAGAAGTGTGTGCAGTGACTCATTGGGATTCCAGAAGAAATAGAATGTGAAAGCAAGCTTGTTTAGATAGGAGTCCTCGCTGCAATTACTTTTGAAGTCTGACACTCTGGAGTCTGACACTCTGGTGAGCCTTGCCAGCAGAGTTATTCAGATAATAGCACCACATGAAATACCCTTTGAAGGCCAAAAACTCTTATCTGCTTACAGGCAAAGCTGATTTCCACACCCTAAATTGCTTCAGAGATAGCAGTTGTCAGTGGGGGATCCATTTTATGCCAGGTGTTCTATAGCTCTGGCACAATATTTAGCAATAAGGCAGCATTTAACTGGTACTACTGTTAAACCATGAAATTATTTTTTTTAACACCTGAAATAATTTCACAGAATTAAATCCACACTTAAATAACGGATAATGAGTGATTTTCTTCCCATTTATTTTCTGTAGCTGTCCCAGGTACTTGTGAAGCTGTTTGTATATTTCTATGATGTTGAAGTCTTATCATACTTTTTCAGATGTTCCCACTAGAATATATGATCCTTTCCTCATTTGTATGTAGTGAAGTTTTACTCACTAAATAACTGTTTTTAGTAAGTAGGTATGATATGACAGATAAAAGGAGCATATGAATCCATCTGCCTAAAAGGTCAGGTGGCCTTTTCACAGCCTGGATTGTTTGAGGATATTCAGAAGATCAGAAAGCAATTTGTTTTGTAATACTAATGTTAACGCTGACATCAGCTTAGTAATATTCAAAATTGGTTGTTATTGTGGCAGTTGTAAAAGAGGGAGAGGGTTTTTCATGTTTTGGAGTTCATTTAGCAGTTGTAATTGTTTGGATTTTGTCCCATTATTTCTGGCATATGGATATTAAAAGCCAGCAGATATATGTAAACAAGCCACCATTGATGTGTAACATTATTTTTATGTTTAGAATTTTCTAGATAACTTTCCCAGTGATGACATCATGTCATTTGTTGCAAGAATATTCCTGCTGTTCCAAATGATGACTGTATACCCACTATTGGGCTATTTGGCACGAGTTCAGCTGTTAAGACAGTTTTTTGGAAATGCTTACCCAAGGTAAGAAGTCTGTTTCTTGACAATAGTCTGGCCCACTCTCCTTAAGTGGCTTTCTGTTATCAGAAATTTGGCTAGGTTTTTGGTTTTAGGTTCATTTCATAAGCTAGTTTCACAATTTGTAGAGTCAGGGTGAATAGGCATGCCTGCAGATCAGGACTGTTACAGTTTGCCAGAGCAGGGTTGTTTTAGTTTAGCTCTTCCTTTTATCAATATAATTTTGTCAACACAGTCCCTTTGGGTTATGCAATTATATGACAAAATAAAAGTTGTACAGGAAAAAAAATTGTTTCATCCAGGAGCATTTCATCTAGCAATCCTTAAGCTGTGAAAAACATACAATCCAGATACTGACCTTTCAGCATGCCATCTTTGTTTTGATTGTGAATGATTAGTAATCATCCATCTGTTTTTAAACAGAGCTAATAGCTCAGTGAGTTGTTAGTTGTGCTATCTGGGCTGCTGCTATGCTTATAAAAATAGCTTTTCAGATGCTAATTTCAGAGATGAGCCACACCCTTGCATTTGTACAGTGTCTGTACTCCAGGGAATAGCTGATGCAGATTTCAGTTTTAGTTTGGTTTCTTAAATAAAACCTAGGACATTTATATTTGGAGTACCAGAGTACTGAATTTGTCACAGCTGAGAAGTTGCCATTTATCTCCAAGTTTCTTATTTTGTATTGTGAATTACTGTTGATGGAGGAAAGGAAAAAAAAATCTCAGGAGGGAATGTATATTTCCTCTGTGGCATCAGCAGTTCAGGTCTGCAGAGATGTTGTTTCAAGTTTCAGGTTTCTTCTGAGTCCTGAAATAGGTTCTAGAAACTGAATGCCTAAAATTAGGCAGTGAAATAAGTGCCTGCCTTTTTTAACTCAGAATTGTATGCAGTTCAACATCGGGATTTTTAGGAACTGCTGCAAGTTACTGCTGGAAACAAGGCCATTTATTTAAGTGCTAAAGATGGATTTCACAGCCACGGGGAAATAGTCTTGTCCTTTATATTATGTGGATATGCTTTTTCCTATCTCCTCCCTCTAGTTACTCTCTGACCAGATTGGTTTTCATTTCCCTCGTGGGCTCTCCTAGAACCTGCAGCTTTATGCCAGTCTCTTCTCAGGTTAATTCCAGCTTGCTGTTTTAAGCCTTCACATATGACGAATTTGATGATGCAGATGCTTGCTTGATTCTTGTCTCCAGGATGTCCTGTGGGTAGCTTCACTCATTTTTAAATGTACTCTGTTTTAAGACTCCTTATAGTGAAGTATTTAAAGCTTCTGAGGAGTCAAAAATGGTTTCTAGGAAGCCATATAAGCCTCTCCAACCTATAGTGATAAGGTAGCATGTTCTGGCTGGTGGGCTCTCTCTCACTCTCTAGCATTCCAGGTGTCTCAAATACAGCACAGAAATAACTGAATTAACCTTCAGGCTCTGGCTTCTGTGCATTTACAAGGTCAGCCCTTGGTTTTTTCTATGCGGTGAAGACTTACTGGAGGATGGTAGCAAGCACAGAGCATGTCTCTGGGAGGATAGTAAAGATTTACTACCTGGTTGTGAAATGTGTCTTCATGACTGGCTCTCACCAGTCATCTAAGCTGACAAATCTCCTTTAGTAGCACTTTATTACCTCTGTAGGAAAAAGTTCAGTATTTTTCGTTTTCCCCAGAGCTGCTTTTGTAGGGAAATGTTTTACAAATATGAAGCTTTTGCTGTTACCGACATAGACTTCATTTCTTACTGGAGAGCCTGTTGATTCACTCTGCACAACCTACTTGGAATATTAAATTCTGTAGCTTTTTGTGTAGGAAAATGAGCACTCTACTAACAGTTGAATACAGTTGGGTTCTTTTCTCAAAATCCTCATTAATCAGGGCTAACAGCTCTTGGGCAATAAGAATGATCTGTATAGATTCATGCTTTACCTCTTAGATGTCTGTATAAGTGAATATATGGAGGAGAATATCCTGGGTCACATGCCTGGAGAAAATTTTTGTCTGAGGATGAAAAAGGAGGCAAAGAGCAGGATCTCTCTGTTGGCACCCGAGCCTCATTTAACCATGTGATTCTATGTGCTAAATCACATACCTTTTCATAGCTGCAACTTTCTTATATTAGGTTTTCTTTGCAGATGAGAGAAATCTTACAAATTTGCCTTCTGACATAATTGTCCGAACAAAACCAACAAAACCATCTAAGTCAGAAACACCTAACAGAATCACTGTTTTGGCCCAAGTCTCCGTTAGAAATTTTCCTATCTTCATTTTTAAGTTGTTGGTTGCTTTACATGGAAGCTCACTGATTTTAAAAGCCAGGCTTCTTCACATCAGCAGTTATTTGCAGGTGTGGATTCCTCCTGCTGCTGTGGGTGGAGTTAACAGATACCCATTAAGTTAATAAGTGGAGTACATAGGATTCTGTATGGATGCAGCTTAAAGCAAATAGCTTGATCTTACACGTTTACAGGGCTGCCATATAGTTTTTATTTCCTGGGTGTGATTGTATTGCTCAGATCAATATCATTATCTGGGTTTTACCCCTTTTTCTTTATCTGAAACTGGTTATAATAAAGCACTAAGATATTAGTTTCCTGTTTGAAATTTATAGTCTAGATTTTTTTATCTAATCAAAGGCAAATTCTACCAAAAGCAACATCGTGGTTAATATCCAATTTTTTTCTGGAAAACCATGGATTGTAACTGGATTATAATGAGAAACTACATACTCATCTTCAAGGGATCTTTTATTGTCTGAAGACTTGGATTTTCACCTCTTTTGTGTCATGCTTTTTACTGTGTAGTGTTCTTTTTCTGTTAACAACTCTTTACTGTGTACCTGTAATGTATCCTACTAACCCATAGTCTTGAGTGATAAAGCATCTTATCCTCTCCAAACTTAAAAGCTTAAACAGACAATACGTAACTTTTTTTCTCCCAGGTTTCCCAGTACACATAAGCTGAACAGTGGGAGCTTGCTTATCTGAAAGGCAATGAGAGTCTTGTCTTCCAACAGTGAGGACGAGAGCAAAAGCATCCTTGAGTCTAAGAAAGAGGATTCTCCTTGCTCTTATGTACAAGTGACTTGTGTCTCTGCCTATCTTAAAATCAAAGACACATGGAGACAAGCTAGACACATGTCTTCTTACAGGCATCATCACATAGAACCATAGAGTGGTTTGGATTGGAAGGGTCCTTGAAGATCATTTAGTTCCAACCCCGCTGCCATCAGCAGGGACAGCTTTGACTAGACCAGGTTACTCATACAAACTGGCCTTGAACACTTGCCCATTCATACTGGCCGTGCACACTTCCAGAGATGGGGCATCCACAGCTTTCCTGGGCAACCTGTTCATGTATCATCACCCTCACAGTACAGTTTCTTCCATATATTTAAACTAAATCTCCCTCTTTCACTGTGTACCCATTTCTCCTTGCCCTGTCACTCCAGTTCCTGTCAGAGAATCCCTCTCCAGCTTCCCTATAGGCCCCTTCAGAAACTGGAAGGTGTCTGTGAGATCCCACACAATCCTCTCTCCTCCAGGCTGAGCAGCCCCAACTTGCTCAGCCTGTCCCCGTAGCAGGGGTGCTCCAGCCCTCTCACCAACCTCCTGGCCCTCGTCTGGACTTGTTTTAACAACTCCTTGTCATTGTGCTGGGGACCCCAGAGCTGGATGCAGTGCTCCAGGTGGGGTCTCAGCAGAGCAGAGCAGAGCAGAGCAGAGGGGTACAACCCCTCTCTCAGTCTGCTGGCCAATGATGCTTTGGATGCAGCCCAGGATTTCCTTGGCTTTCTGGGCTGGGAGCACCCACTGCTGGCTCATGGTGAGTTTTTCATCAGCCACCACCCCTGAGTCCTTCTCCACAGGGCTGCTCTCAATCCCTTCTCTGCCCAACCTGTGGGTGTGTCTGGAATTGCCATGGTCTGGGTGTAGGCGGCTTTTACTTGGTCTTGCTGAGCTCCCTGAGGTTTGCATGCTCACACCTCTCGAGCCTGTCCAGATCCCTTTGGATGGCATCCCTTCCCTCCATCATGTCCACTGCATCATACACATACACAGCTTGGTGTTGATGGTGCACTCAATCCACAAATCCTTCAGCCTTTCTCTACTTCCTGCAAAAGATTTAGAAATGAGAGAAGACATCCTAATGTCTTCTCTTATTTTGCAAAATGTATGTTAGTAAACGGATTACAAGATAAGTGATGTACTGGGACAAAACCCAAGGAACTGTTCACTCTCTCTGCTCTCTCTGGTGTTGTTAAGGAAGGCCAAAATTCTGTGTATTGGGTAATTGCTTTTTTTTCTAAAATGAGATATGTTTGTAATGGTGTCATTTAACAGATGATTTAGGGCCAGATGTTTTATCTGCTGTTTCTTGCCTGACTCTGGATCTTCTTATATGTACAGAAAGCAAATTTTTATTATTGTTACTGGTTCTTTGCTGCAGTAATATTTGTAACAGATTCCCTTTATTAATTATATGGTGTCCATAAAGTGCTTTAAACAGTCATCTGAGGATTTTTTAAAACTTTATAGCATCTTTCCTGTTCTGAGAGGTTAAATAAGCTGATAGACAAAAATCACTTGGCTTTCCTTAATAATTGTCATCCCTTTACTCCATGGTAGCCCAGCAGACCTGCCAGTTCTCCCAGAGATGTATGTGTTCTGATGCAATGAAATACATTTCTTCTGTTTGCATGCATGTTTGCTTGTCTGCTCTTCTTCTAACCTCTGCCTAGCTTCTCTTAAAGGTTGTGATTCATTGTCTTTTGACCAATGTCACTTGAGTGAGATTTCCAGGAAGAAAATGCATTTTTAGATACAGAAACCTCTCAAAAATTCTTATTTGGGTGATCCTAATTTTCTCCTTTCCTTGCTTTCCAGTTTCCCTTATTGTGTGTGTTCATCCTGTGACTCCATGCTGAGTCTGAAACTTCTGAGAGAACTTAAAACTGGAGGGGATTTAAAATCAGTTTCTGTCTTTAAATTCTCCTGTGCTAGGGTTTGGTTTCACTGTTTTTGACACGATTCTTACTTTGAGGATGCTAATTAGATATAGATGTTAATTGGATATATATGGTCACTGCTGTTCAGTGACTTAAGTGTAGCTATCACTTCAATGGGAGAGAACTTGATGGATCAAGCCCTTTAATGATCTTCTGGCATACAAGGTTGTTTCTCCACTCTGTCAATCTGAAAGGTCAACCTTGCCAGGAGAGAAGAACGCAAGACTTAGGGGAAAGCTTGCATTTTCTTCTAATATTTTTTTCTTCTCCTTTCCATTACCATTTTTGTGGGATTGCAGGATTTTTGCAAGTGAGCAGTGATTTCCTTTATAGGAAAGAGCTAGAATCTTCATCTGCCCAGCTGAGAGTGTGGAGACTGAGGACAGAATATAAAATACTTGCCATGGGTGTGCTTCCTTTGTGAATTACAGCCTCCTTCAGGCAACGCAACCTGTGCCTCAGAGCAGCAGCCCTGACCAGGCTGCCCAGGCAGACAGTCCAGCCCTGGCATGGGCCACCCAACTCTGCTGCCATTGACCATGATGAAGAAAGTTACGCCACTTAGGAAACACCTGTATGTGACCAGCATGATTAAGCACAAACAGGCCAAATCTTTTCTAATCACTAATGTCCTCTGAATACTTTTCTTCATATAATTGTAATAAGCAGTGGTGTGGTTATTTCCCCTGCCTCCAAATGCTGTTTTCCTGACTGTCCTTTTGCAGTGTGTTGTGAACATTGATTTTACTGTAAGCCAGTAAAGTCAGGCTAAACCTGAGCAATTCAGGACTTACTAAAATGTCACGGGCTATGAGAAATGCTTGTCGTGTCTGGAACATACCTGAATGGAGCTCCAGAGTATTAAGAAAAGTACTGTCTCAAATAATGTAGCTCCTTGTAGCCCTAGGTATCAGATTTTACTTTATTCGGAAGGGTAGGGTTTTTTTCATCAATGGTAATGCCTTTCTCTCCATCAAGATCAAGACTGTTTCCCCATCCTGTAGATGAGCTGAGCTGAGAACTGTGACTATCTGCCTGGGTAAAATAAAGGGTTTGCTGGTTAAATACCTGTCATGTTTACAACTATGGTTACATGGTTACAACTTACACATTTGGTCCCTAAGAAGTCTGATTCTTGGGATTTTATTTTTTGTTCATGGGGTCTTACCAGATTTATACTCAGTTAAGTTTTTTTTGATCTTACGCAGCTGCTGTAGTCTCATGGCAATTGTTGATCTCTAAGGTACCCCTCTTGTACCAATCTAAAAAGAGTAAAGAAAGGAGCAAGGACATTCCAGGGGAGAAATGCAGTGTAATCTTTCATATTGAAACAGATTGGTGCAAAGTCTTTTCAGACCTTCTGATTTTGGTATTGTTCTTGAGGAATCTGATTAATTTTGACAGTGAAAACTGCAAACCACTACTCTACAAGTACTGAATTGCTTTGGAGACTTCAGCATTTGAGGAACATTGTTTTCAGTTGAGCCAGAACACATTGTCCCCCCCTCAACCCAATAATCCTTTCCCAGACCAAGAAATTGAGAAATGTTTCATTTCACACCAGAGATACAGACACTCCTATTTACTTTCAAAATTTAAAATAATCTAGAAGTAATTTTTTTTTTAAAAACAACAGCTTTGAACAACAACATCACATCTTCAAAGCATGCCAGAATAAAATACTTCAGAGATTTTTCAGGTTTTCTGCTAAAATATTTTGAACTGACAAATTTGCAGAACATTTTTGAATTAGTAAGCCTCCACTGGTTTTAGTCCCTCTTGCTAAAAAAATAATCTCAGCAAAAAGAGAGTGGAAGAAGTGTTGTCATTTTCTGTGTCCATAAACTTTCTTCTTCGATTGTGTGATAGTAAGATTTGTGATCTGCCACGTGTAGGAGAGAGGAAGTTGTTTTTAATGGCAGACACTTTTTTTGGGAACAGTTCAGTTAACTGGCTTTCCTTAGCAGTATTAGAGAGGTGTACACATTTGGTCCCTAAGAAGTCTGATTCTTGGGATTTTATTTTTTGTTCATGGGGTCTTACCAGATTTATACTCAGTTAAGTTTTTTTTGATCTTACGCAGCTGCTGTAGTCTCATGGCAATTGTTGATCTCTAAGGTACCCCTCTTGTACCACTGTAAAAATGTCATGTAAAAAATTGAAGATCTTTTTTGTCTTTTTGAAATAAATTTTGAAGATCGAAGGTCAAAAACAGTCCATAGCTTAAATTATTCCTTTGTGCTTTAATTGCCTTCATTTCCCTGAACTTTAATAAGACTGCTCTATGTCTTTAATCTTTCTTCCTAACTTGGAAGCTGGCAGGCAGCCTTTCACCCGTAGCCATGGAAGTTGTCACTTCTTAAAAGTTTGTTAGTTAGTTAGATCCTCTGTAATACACATACTTTCTACAGTGAAGAAAAAATTAGCCTTGGCTTACAGGTTTTGTATATTTTAGGAAACCATATCCTCCAGAAGAATAAACAAAACCTGTAAGTGTATGTATGTTTCCTCTGTGAGAATTCTTTTTTCCTTTCATAGAAACAGCTGTGTGACCAAAATATCACAGGTTTTTATTCTATTTCCTGACTTTACCTTAGGCTAAAATATGCCAACATTTCATATTCCCGAAAGAAAACTGATACTTTCCTGAGTCTCAGCTCTGTGCATAACTGCACTGAATTTGTCTGATGCAGTAAAAGCTATCTTTGCAGAACAGAAAATCTCCATTTTTCTTATCCTTAATGCAAAAGGAAAGCAACAGGAAATAATTTGTAAAAACAAATTCAGCAAAAAAATTCAGCATAAATAGGGCAGGAGCAAGGAAGTTCATTGCAGTTCATATACTGTAAAACATCCAACATTTTAAATGTTTGTCCTCTATCAAAATGCAGTAGAGTTCAAATTTTAATAGTGTTTGTAATGTTTTCCACTTGATGCATCTTTGCCTTTCTTCTGGTTTCCATTAGTTCACTTTGAGCAATTCAGATCATTCTGCAAACAAGCTATTTTTTTCTTGTGGGAATTAAGTTATACAGTATTGTTTCTTTGGCATTTGAATATCCATCTGAAATACTTGAATGCTGAGTACCATGTATGATGTTTTTCATAAGAATTGCCAAATTACACATTCTTATTCCTTAAGAATATTTTGAGTCAAAATACTAGATATTTAGAAATTGGCACTCTGAATATTCAGTAGATGACATGTTTGCTGTGAAATTAATTAGCTTTAATAGAGTGAGTCATGCAAATGAAAACACCATCCATGTACCAGTTAAATATTAAATGAAGGCCGGTGGTGATATTTTGTAAAAAATGTAACAGATTTTAATACTCTTTCCTCACTTTCCTGTAGCCTTTTCCATGTGCTTGTCCTGAACCTAGCCATTGTAGGAGCTGGAGTAGCAATGGCAAGATTTTATCCAAATATAGGAGGTATCATAAGGTGAGTGTTGCTTGCAGTGAGCTTCCCTGTGGTGTTACTATATTTGTGTCTTGATGTTGAAAAGGAGTGCTAATAATGGCACCTTTATATTTTGTGAAGCTTATGCCTTCTTAAGTTGTAAATAATGATTTGGTGGGTAAACAATCAGCTTGCAAAGTTCTGACATCTGTTATTCTGCCTCTGTGTCTGAGGTGGTTGAGTTTTACCGGAGCTGAGCCTTAGGACCTTGTAACTCTACTCATAAATGAATATGGTACCAGAAGAAAAGTTGCTTTGTTATTGTGTACTTCTCCCAAGTTTCTATTTTGTAGTAAGACATTTCAACCTGGATTGAAGGTCCATAATAAAAACGCAAGAAAGCAAGTGGCATCAAAGTGCCTCTAAATGATATCTTAAATTTACCATGTTGATGAAAAGCTAGGATTTCTATAATGAGAAAATATTAGAGGAAATAATAAAGAGTCTTACTTTACTATTTTTGGTGTCAACATATTTATATGCATTGTCATTTATTCTTGGTTTGCATCTTTCTTAAAGCAACCAGGAGAGGCAAGTGTTTAAAAATACCGAAATCTGCAATTATAAAACCAGAATGACAGGTTTGGGTCTGACCAAAGTAGCAAAAGAACTTACTTTTTGCTCAGTGGCTGATCTTTGAGGGTTTTCCCGATTTCCTCTTTTTCTTCTGTCTCTCCTTGTAGAAAATTTTTTTGTATTCCTTGCATAGAAATTGTCAAGTTAATCGTCATCACAGACTCTTAGAATGATAGAATGGACCTTAAGGTTGGACAGGACCTTGAAGATACCTAGTTCCAACCTCCTGCCATAACCTGCTTCTAGACCAGGTTGCTCAGAGTCCCATCCTACCTGGCCTTGAACATTTCCAGGGACATTTTCCTCTTTTTCTTCTGTCTCTCCTTGTAGAAAATTTTTTTGTATTCCAGTAATAGAAATTGTCAAGTTAATCGTCATCACAGACTCTTAGAATGATAGAATGGACCTTAAGGTTGGACAGGACCTTGAAGATACCTAGTTCCAACCTCCTGCCATAACCTGCTTCTAGACCAGGTTGCTCAGAGTCCCATCCTACCTGGCCTTGAACATTTCCAGGGACATCACATCCACAGCTTTCCTGGGCAACCTGTTCCAATGCCTCAACACCCTGACAGGAGAGGATTTCTTCTTCCTGATACCTATTTTGGTTAAACATTGTGCAATACATACCACTGTTTGCAAACTGGTGCTTATCTCTTCTAATGTGTCTATATTGTGCATGGTAACCAAACACAGTGAGTAGTGGGTTTCCAGCAGATAAATTGTCTTTATACAGTCTAACTTGCATGCTTGCAAGTCACACTGATCCTTCCTTGGAAAGGAATGTTCAAATATATTGCTTAATAACATTTGGCTTCTTAGTAGGTGAAAGTAACGAGAACATTTTAGTAAGCAAGGGATAGGTTAGAAAAAGAACAGTTAAATGTTTCCCTTGCTGTGGTTGATCATGTTACCAGAAGGGCATTTTGTTCCTTTTAGGTCTGAAGAGTTATTTGCTAGACGCTCATTAAATAAATTAAAGTAAGAATTGCAGATTCAGAAACATTTCTATATTTAAATGCTTTAATCTGTGTTCTCAGATGGCTGGGATGCGATGAGATTTGCAGTTCTGACAGTAAAGGATGTTTAATAGAGGATGCACTGTGACGTCTCTTTCTGCTGCATGTTGACAAATTTCCCCAAAGAAAGCAGAAACATCAAGGCTTAAGTAAGGGATTTGGTCCCCAACAGCATCACAGGGTGTGGCTGAAAGGACAGAGCCATGTCATAGTGCAGGTACAAGCAATCAGGGAGCTGAACAATGCAGAGAGTGGTAATTAAGTGCTAGTGAAGGAGGTAGAGGTCAGTAAGGAGCAGAAAGTGATGTTTAGCGATTGCAGATAGTCAGTATTCATCCAGATTGTTCATTTGTTTGGTGTGGGGAAATGATGACAAGAAATAAATGCAAAGCATTCATTCTTTTTTTTCTTTTTTTTCTTCCCCTCTTCCCTCCCTTTCCTCAGATACTCTGGAGCAACATGTGGTCTGGCCTTTGTGTTCGTGTATCCATCACTCATCTACATGATCTCCCTGCACCGTGCTGGGCAGCTGACGTGGCCCGCACTGATTATTCACATCTTTATAATCCTCCTTGGACTGGCTAATCTGATTGCACAATTCCTATTGTGAAAACTCCCCTTTCTCCCGTGCTTGTCACAATTGGTACTGCGATATTTGGCAACAGCCTTGAGCAACAGTGAGGCATGAGGACCATCCTCCATGTGAGGATCTTGGGAAAAGCTTCACCTTTGAAAAAAATTCGAAGCACATCATTCAAGTGTTCTACAGAAAACATGTCTTGCTTCCCTGAAATCACAGTCTTATGAGAAGTGAAATGGAGTTCTCCTGGTTTTGTTGAAGGGATATCAAAAATTAACGACACTGAAATATTTTAATATTTTACAGCACATTTCTCCAAACACAGAGCTTCCAGCCTCAAGCTGTGGAAGTCTTTCCTCCAAATGGGCTGTCCTTACCTTGATTAGCAGACATACTTTCTCAGTATTGTTCAGTGACTCTTTGAAATATTCTTTTGTTGCAGTTATTTTCCTGATTTGTTTGGAAAATGAAGAATTTATTGTCTCTCTTCTTTTTTTTAGGTTAATTTATAGTCACTTGGGTCAAAATGCACTCTTAATTTTGAATACACTATTAAATTGTTTTGGCAATATTTTTCCTCTAGGAAGTTCCAACAACAAGAAACAATAAACTCATGTTTCAGTGTTTTATTCAGAACCAATATGTACACAACTTATTTGTGATCTTACAATACAAAAAAGCCAGGAGGATAAAAAAAAATTAGAAGGAGACAATTAAAATCAGTAATTCCAGGCTTGACCTCAGTTCAACTCTGTTACTGGGCTATTATGTGCTGTGAAGTTGTCTTGTCAGGATTTGCATGTGGTTTTTATGGATGCATGGTGTACACAACGTTTGTTCATCACAGGCCTGCCCTTGTAGGGTCTTCCTCTGCTGGTCTCTCAATTCCCCACTACATTACTCTAGACATTTTGGATGTGAGCAGAGAGACAAAGCCAGCAGTCTTCAGAATTGTGGATGAAGTGAAAGAATTAAAGTTTTAAATAATTTTTAACAGAAGCTGGAAGAATCTGGGAAGATTTTGTTGTGGGGTTTGTTTTTTTTTTTTAACTTCTTGTTTACGAATTAAGTGGGTGTACGTGCATAAGCACATAGACACCTTCTTTCATCTACCTGCTGTAACTCTGTGTCTTAACCCAAAACATGCAGTAATTAAGTTGCCAGACACTAGTGGAATGTCATTTTTGTGGTTGGAGAGAGAGTAGAAGCTCCTCTTTGTGCAGATTTGCAGTGCATTAAAATAATCAACAAATGTAGAATAATTGAAAGAGAACTCTGAGCAATACTAAATTTCAAAGTAAGTAAAAGAAGAAAAAAGTTGGAGTGGTGCAATATTTGTGAAGTAGGAGTTGGGAAAAATAATTACATTTCAAGTTAAGAGTTCATATTTTCATCAGAAAGACAGTGAAAAACTTAACCTAGGTTATTACCATGCTTCTCTGGAAAATTCTGTGAATTTTTTTAGTGATAATGTAAATCGTATTTGTTTTGCTTGGGCTCCTCACACTGTGTAAAGGACACTCACTTTCCTAAATATCCTTTGATTTGTATGAAATGCAAGATTGTGTGGGTTTGGAATACTATCTGCAGAATGCAGTGTGAAACATGCTGTGCCTTTACATCAGAATTGGAGAATACATCCATCATCTCTTCTGTTTTAGAGAGAACTATCTGCCCCATCCTGGTCATTTTCTCCTGTGTAGACTCTTACAAGAAAAGTACTTGAAAACTAAGAGGAGATGACAAAGATACAGATTTCCTAGCATTGTTGGCTTATTCACATTAAGCTCTTGTACTTATTTATTGTAGGTTCAGTGCTTAATTTAGGTACAAACCCTGATGAGTGCAGGTGATGAAATTTTATTATATCCTTCTATGTTCCATTTGAATACGATTCCTTTATTTATATCCTAGTCGTTGAAGCTGACAGTAAAATACCCATTGATTTTAGCAGAATTAAATTCTGTTAGGATCTAGTAGTCAACAGAAATTCCTGAGAAAGACAGAATTCTTGGCAAAGTGTCCTCATTGCATCTTGTATCTATCTCTTTTTTCGTTATGCAGTTTCAATGGCTGAGTTAAAATTTAGAAGGAAATTATTCAGAACATTTATAGAAGACTGTTTTAGCTCTGTGTTACAGAGATAGGTTCTTGCTGCAGTGTTTATTTATACAAGCCTGTAAACCTTTGATTTGAATTACAAGCTGGTAAGCATTAGAGTGATAGCAAATATTTCATTACACTGTCATCTCCTGAAGCACATGTTCATATGAGAAAGTATTTTTTAATGTTACTACATGCAGTTGAGATTTTCACAAGCATAAGAAGCAAGTCAGGAGTGTGTAAGTAGATTGGCATTTTGAGGGATTCTCTTCTTTGTCAGCATCCTGAGTTAAATAATATCTTAAATTTTAATGGAAACTTAAATGTCCTAAAACACCAGAGGTAGATTGCAGTGTCTTTTTTTGTGCAAGTACAAAATGTAGTTGTTTACAAACACACACTTCATCTGCAGTGATGGCCAGCTAACTTCACTTCCTTAGATTCAGTGTTCCAGGATATCATCATGTAGTTTAGCAAAGCAAAGAATGTAATATAATGACCCAGTGGTATATTGTGAGATGTCATTTATTACCTTCTCACAGGAGAAAAATAATTTGTGCTGGAAATACTGAATTATGTCTTTACACTTGAACTTTGCTGAAGTAGGCTGTGAGGTGAAACACTTCTGTCTCTGGGCATTGACTAAGAATCTAAGGTTTTCTTCCTAACAGTACCAGGCTCCTTGTTTGGCACCATCCCTAACTCATTGTGCTCTGTCACTCCAGCCCTCCATTTTATGTGATAACTCAGTGATGCAAACTGAAATTTTTGTTGCATGAGGTTTGAGCAGCTGCAGTCAAATCCTCTGTGCTGATACCATCATGCTAAAATCCAGATCTCAGGATACATAAGGCATTAACCCAGCATGACCTTCTAACATTGCCAAAGCTTAAGTAGCCAGGGGAATTCCCAGGAAGCTCCAAGAGCAGTTGTGGACATGCCTGTGTGGTGAATTTGTGGACATGTCTGTAGGTTATTACACACTTTGAGCACTGATGCCAAGGGATTAGTTTTTCAGAGGGAGTGTTGTGATGAACAGAATTATTTTCTAAAGACAGGGACAGATGCTATGGCTTATAAGTCTTCTCTTAGGACACAGAAAGAACTACCTTCCCTGTATGCTTGTACTAATCTCATTGCCTTCTCTGTAATGGCCTAGCATAATTTTGTAGTTATTGTGGCCCACATTCTTCCTTCCAGCTTCTAGTGGTCTTCTCCTGTATTTACTGGCTGTCAGTTTTTCCTTTGTTCTTCCCGTCTCTCACAGCTGCATCTGTTCCTACAAATAATTTTTTTCCATTCTGTCTGGATTGGCAGTGTAATGCTAATGTACTAAATCATGTAGCTCAAAAGACCTGTGCAGCAAATATCAGCATTTGGGGTTCAAACATTGTGTCGTGTAACAGAGGGTCTTGGAAGGATATTTTATGTAACATTGCCTGTTTTCTTAGAGGTTCAGCCTTTCCAATGCCTAGTGCAAAAATACATGAAGGTAATGGCGTTTGGTTGCAGCACTGAACTCTTTGGTGTTGATAGCTTGCCTGCTCAACCTTCAGGCTGCTCCCTTCTCCACCAAGCTTCTGTGCAAGGGTTGTCTTCTTTTACATATTCATGAAACCTTTTTTTCCACAGGGAGTCAGCTTGAGAGTCAGAAGGTTGCCAGAGTAGTTGGTTCCCCATTACTGCTCTAACCTGACATCTCTCAACTTTGAGTGCCCAAATCTGGGCAAGTGTTAATGAGCCTGCCGGGATATGTAGTCAGCCCTAAGGCTGATTAAACTCTTTTGCAGAGTTTACTAAACAAAGTTTATAACCATCCATCCATGGATGTCTGGAAAGCTGAGAGGCAGCAGCAGTATAATTGAGTTACATCACAGCTGGAGCTGTGGATAGGAAGGAGGAGAGACTTCCTGGAATACTGAGACAGTCTGCACTTTGGGACGTCCTAGAGACTGTGTGCAAGGGCCAGAGTGGTGCTGCAGTCTCCAGGTTCTGCAGTAAAATGGTAGTGAGGGAGGTGAGAGAGATGGTAGCCTCTAGAAAGCATGGTTTTGCCTTACAGGATGTTGTGCTTCAGAGGACAACTGCACTAAACATCTGTCACCTTTATAACATATGAAGATACCTACCTGAGGAAAAATTAATAACGGGAGAAGGATTAGTGCTTGGCAATAACTGATACTGCTACCAACAAAACAGTGTCTCTCCTTCAGCTGGAAGCAAAAAATAATTCCAGTGGTCAGGTCACAAAATCTGGGAGCTGTCTTCAGTAAAAAGTATGCTATTTTAGTAGACTTTTCAATAACTTCTTAATAGGAAGTAAAATACTAGTGATAGACAAAGCAAAAAAAGCCCATTGTACTGTGCTTAATGGGGGAGTACAGTGTAAGCTTTTTCCTCTGAGTTGGTATTCTACCAGATTGGAACCATGATCAGTGTATTCAATTCCTTTGCACTTGAGAACACCATTAAACTTCTTTTGGAATGGAGCAGGACTCAACTTGCCAGATCATTGCTATCTCTGCCTGCTGTAATTTCAGATGGTGGAACCAGTGCCACGTAACCGTTGCTCTGTGGTTTGTATTTCCAAACACCAGATGATCCAAGAGGGGCAGGAAGGATCTCTCTTTTTTTTTTCAAATTTACCTAATTATCGCTTTTCTTATATACCTCCTTTTTGTAATCCTGAAATAGATTAAACAGTCCAGATGAAAAATGCAGCTTTTTTTTTTTTTTTTTTTTTTTTTTGGGTCACATCTCAGTATGCTTGTACTGTAGCTTGACTAAAGCTCATTGAATTATTTCCAATAGCCCAAAAACTGTTTAAAAACTGCTGTCCATGTGTTTCCTTTCATAATTGTTTGAATGGCCTTTTTTCAGTTCTGTGAACATTGTTAACTTCTGACATTTCATTAAACTGTTAGAGGAAGTTGAGATTAGTCAGGTCGTTTCAAATCAACACAGCAAAGTCATTCAGCTGCAAGAGGAGGGGAGGGGAAATGCCTACACATTTGAGTACCAGGCTAGATACCAAATGCCATACCAAAGAGAGACATTGCCCCACTGCCCATCTGGCTTCTTCTCTTAGAGCAAAACAAGATTCGTTTACAAAATTACCACAGGGTATTAAAATTACAGGCCTGTCATAGGAGGAGAGGAAAGGCTATTTGCTGGGTTTTTTATTTCTCTCTTCAATTAATATTTTTTTCTTCTTCTTTTTTTTCTTCTTTTTTTTTTTTTTTTAATAATAAGAGCCCACTTTAGCCTAAGCAAACTCTTGTACATCCCTTCACCTTCCAGCATAAGAATTAAAGGGATCTGGCTGGTACAGAGTAGCAGAGACAATGAAGATGATTTCCAGGAGCACTGTGTGCTGGCTTTGTGTGTTTGGAATTTGGAAGAGCCCATGGCTGCTCTGCATTTCTTCTGTAGAGGTGTAACACTCTTCACTAAGGGAAGGCTGAATCTCACCTTCCCCGTCTGACATCCTTAGGCCTGAGGGGGAGGATTTGCATGACTAAAGTCCTCTGTTATGGAAATACAGCTGCTATTTAGGGTACTGCCAGATTCACAACAATAGACAAAAGACCATATCCTGCCTCTGTGAAACTTGCCATGAGCAGATTACTCTTGACTGGTGTTCCTAAGACTAGATTTATTAAGTCTTTTAAATAATTCCAGCGTTAATGAGGCCACTAGCTCCCTATTTTTACAAGATTGGCTCAGGTTCAAGTGTCATCTTCTCTGTCCTCTTGATGCACTGTACACCAAAGGAGTGCAAAGTTAGGGGTAAACTCTACAGCCAAACTCCTGCTAATTGTGATTTCTCCTCTGAATAATTAGTTGTGAACAACTAATGTAACAAAATTTGCTATTAAGGCAGTGGCAGGAGGGTG